ATAAAAATTCAGTGTCATAAATTCAATGTCTAAAAATACTTGAATTCTGATGATACTATATTTCTTCCATACAACAGCACAGCAACAACAACAACAACACACAGGGCGCCCTCTGACCCCGGAAGGACACACCGTCGCAGCGAGACGGCGTCACCCGTCACTATGGCAACATAAACAAAACATAACTGTACAAACAGAACCCCGAACAGCCCTGACCCGCTACAATATGCTGCTGAGAATATAGCCCAGAAAAAGCGTATAGTATAGCTTTTATTTTGGAAAGAGCCATTTCTCTGTAATAAACTCTCTTTTCCAAACATGAGTGATTCCTCAATCAGATATTTATTTTTTTAATTACTTTTGTTTCAGCAACATTCAATTTAAAAACTGTACTTTTGAGTTAAAATATATATTTATAATTTTAATAAATGACAAATTAAAAAGGCATGAACATTTTTTTGTATCGAAAAAATATCGAACCGTGACACCAAAGTATCGAACCGAACCGAACCGTGAATTTTGTGTATCGTTGCACCCCTAATAAATATATATATATGTATATATATATGTATATATATGTATATATATATATGTGTGTGTGTGTGTGTGTGAGTGTGTATATATACAAATAAAGGATATATTAGGAAAAATGTTTGAATTAGAACTACTCCTGGTACTCCAGCAAACTAGGCCAACAATTTTATTTTCACATTCATTCCACAGCATGACGTGCTTTGTATGCGTTTCTTAAAGATAGTAATTAAGAGAAAAAAAAACATGCATTTTATGTTATTTATACTAATACTCTTTTCTTCTCACTTTGCTCAAATCTGCCAGTGGAGTGGTAGTCTCTGGGGGTTTTCTTTCCTTCCTTCTTCACCCTCCACCCTCTCCTTTGCCTTTCTTTCTCCTGGGGCTGATGATGCCTCAGACAGTAAATGCTCTCGTGTGTGTTTGGTGTTTGGTCTTGTTTGACTTTGACTTTTGTTTGGGTCACTCATGACTGACCGAAAGACAGATGTTGTGAAGCTATTCTGAGTACATCTGCTTCACAACCTCCCAGTCTTTACTGCATCGATCCATTCATCCATCTGCCATCATGGGCCCATTGCAACCTTTCAAAGCCCAGACGGGGCCTCCTTTATAGGGAGCAGGTTGTCAAAGGATGCACAGACAGATAATCAGACAGACAGGCTGTTAGCTGAGGCAACATTAGTCTGTCTGCAAAGTGAAACAGGCCGCAGGGGCTCTGCTGCTACAAAAACCCTGTATTTTAACAAGCCATTAAATTCACTGTTGGCTCTTTAAAGCTTATTTTTCTTCAGGGAAGAGAGGCAGAAACCTGTCAGTGAGGTATAATTGTTTCATTTGTTTCTAGCGCAAATCAACATCTCATTTAAAGTCAAGCTCCCAGTGGAGGGAAAAGTGAAAGCTTTTGTTACTTTTTTTGTTTTGCTTTGTTTTTTCCAGTGGTAGATATAAATCCCTAAACTAGTTTAGATACATTTATTAACTGCCATTAAATGGGGTTCCCTCAGGATTCAAGTAAAAATAATCACATACCTCACAAAAATACTGGGAAAAAAAGAATGAAAGCACCAGATTGGAGCAGTTTACAGGAAGCAGAGAGACTCTTTTTTTTTTTAACCCATTATGGAGCTAAGATGGTAAATACTGAAGAACGCTACAGACATGTATGCATGTGGCTCATAACACACTAATCTTGTTCAGACTGTTTAGTGCAATTAGTCACCCTTCTTACAAAATGATAACACAATGCTTGGTGAAGTCTAGCCCCAACACTCTAAATATATTGCTCCATAACATGCACATATTCCTACAAACTTAAATTGTTCCTGACTAGCTTATGTGTTTATATCAGTTACTTTGGATTTAGAGATAGCAAGTGATTAGCCTATATGCCAAAAAATGCATTAGCATACGTTTGCTTTAAGTGATAGCTTGCTGAGCCAGTAAACCAGAAGAGAGAACATGTCAGATCAATAGTTTAGCTTTTAAATTTTTAGCATGTTAGCATTGTCTTTTATAGGCTAATTATCTTGCTACTGTTAGCATACATCTCAAAATTTGTTAAGACCAAAAACAATCTTTCAAAAATAGATAAAAGCATCAAAATTTAAAAACATGTCTCCCTGGCACCATTAATTTATTGGCAACTTGAATTTAAAAAATTTCAAAGTTTTCTAGTTTGACAATCATTCCCATTTGGATAACAATTATTTTATGAAAGAATTTCAACCACTGGATCAATTTAGAAGTTTTTTTTTCTTGATTTATATACGTCTAGCTTGTTTGTTTCAAACAAGAAGTTTTATGTTTCAAAAACTAATTAATTTCAGTTATAGATGTGTTACATTTTGCACCAATGATCCAATGACAAATGTTGCTGCACAGGTCAAGGGATCACATTTTACCTCTAAGTTAACGCTATGAAGTTGGTTTCAGAGATTCATTGGTGCATGAAGACTTCTTTGCCCTTGGTTTGCTCTGCTGGCACACCCTGTCATCGGCTGTTATTGTTTTTCTTACAGGCTAACACAGAGAGACAGATAACTGTCTGTCAGGCTGCGCTGCCCAGCTATCAAGTTCCAACTAGGAACTCAAGGGTAATGTTCTCTGCATTTTAACTGTCCTAGTTTAAGCCATTATAATTAGATTGTAATTATATTTAATGTTGGTTTTATTTATTGTATTTTTAGTTTATTTCAGGTTAATTATTACCTCGTTTTAAAAAATGCTTTATTGGATTTTATTGTTATTGAGGTACATATGTTAAAATATTTGTTTTTATATTTGATGTTTTTAACCCACCTTGTAAGAAAGGAATTTCCCAACTTTGGGATGAATAAAATGTATCTGTTTTACATGTTATCTTACCTGGCAAGTTCACCTTAGTCTGTGTCTCTGGGTGACCTTCCTACCCAGCCAATATAATACAAGGCTAAATAGTTCTATCTAGTGGACAAGTGAAAGCATTGCATCCTCAAAAGGTTACTAAGTGGCCCAGAATCACTTTCATTAAATAAATAATGAATAATAAAATTGTATTAAACCAGTAATAAGCATATTTCACTAGTAAGTCAAATAAATGTTACTATGAACTGAACAGAACATCAAGCCTCTGAAAACTTCCACAACTTTATCTAAAATATGAGCACACGTGGAATTTCAAACTTTGAAACTCTTGTGTGTTTGACTCCTTGAAATTCAGAAATCCATCACAGTGATGATAATGCTTCATTATTATTTATCATTTCTCTACCGTTTCTCTAATAAGCTCTGGGAGTCACATCACTCAGGGGGACAAGCTGACTTCACCCTAACTTTCCTCTCTGGGTTTTAAAAGGTTTGAAATCTGAAAAATATATAAAAAGATCTAACTTAGCGAAAGTGAATCATCATAAGAGGTACCTTTGGTTAAAGCAAGACACGGGGGTGAAAATCCTGCGATTAAATGAAAACGTCGCTGTAAACATCACCAAATAAGAGCTGCTCTTACAGTTTACATTACTGTGTGTACATACATTTGAATCCTTCGTATGTATGTGATCAGAAGTGGAAGAGATCTTCTATTTGAGTGAACAAAAAATTAAATATAAAATAAACTATCCCAGCTTTCTTGTTAATCTGACGTTGGATGAGAAGTCCTGGCTCAGTGTCCGCGCTAATCCATCCCAAAGGTGTTCTATCAGGGTCAGGACTCTGTGCAGGCCAGTCAAGTTCTTCTACACCAAACACACTCGTCCATGTCTTTATGGACCTGCTTTGTGCACTGGTGTGCAGTCATGTTGAAACAGGAAGGGACCATCCCTAAACATTGTCCAGAATGTCTTGGTGTGCTGCAAAATAAGAGTTCCTTTCACTGGAACTAAGGGGCCAAGCCCGAACTCCTGAACAACAATCCCACGCCACCTTTGAAACTTTACACTTTGCGCAATGCAGTCAGACAACTACCATTGGTTTTGGTGGTTGCCAGGACAAACTCGCCCATTGGTTTGCCAGACAGAAGCCTGATTCCTCACCCCAGAGAACACATCTTCACTGCTCCAGAGACCAGTGGCAGCGTACTTTACACCACTACATCTGACACTTGTGCTTGGTGGCGGCTTGGGAGTAGCAGTTTAGCCATGGAAACACATTTCTGTCAAAAGTGGGAAACATGGCAGAATTAGATGCTTTTTTTTTTGCTGTGTGAGTAAACTGGTTAAACAGGAGGAATGATCTCCTGGAGTGCGACTTGCACCTGTCTGACACTGAATGAGCACTACTACACCTCCAGCTTCTCTTACTCACACTGCTTGTAGTTTGTAACACAGAGGTGGAGGAAAACTTCAACAAGCCTCTCTATCCTGCTGTGTAGCTCTACTATCACCTTTTGTATTGTAACACAGCCAGTCTTCTTTATATTAGCTGTTTGATGAAACCAGGCTTTCTGCTTTAGTGTCTGTGTGGCTTTTAATGCATGATTTGACTCTCTTGTGCACAAAATGAAGACAAATGGCGATAGACTGTGGGAGTGGTCCTACAATCCTCCAATCAAATTGTTTTTTTGTTTGTTGTTTAAGTGAAATTGCAAGTGAATATTAATCAACAGCCCACAGAGAGGTAACAGTTTCTAATTTTTCATTTTTTATCTGTAATTGTGTATCTGCAGCTGCAACTTGAAACCAATAAAACATGCATTTTTTGTGAAGAGTCTGTGGAAATGTGGAACTTGAAGCCTCAACATAACCTGCTTTATTATTTTACTATGCATCACTAGGATCTTCCAGCCAGGTTAAAAAACACAGACACCTACCTAAAAAGATAAAAAAGAAAAGTGCTGTCCAATAAGCTTGCTTTGTGGTACACCCCTCACCTCAGACATCTTTTTTCACATTCCTCTTGGAATGGCTGAATACCACATTCAGCCATGCAGCAAGTTTTAAATCCATCTGCTCTGAGACCTCCATCAAAATACGAGAAACAGAGAAATTAGGTTCAGTGCAAGAGGTTATTTTATTATTATTATTTTTAACCGTTGACACAATCAGCAGAGAATCAAGGCATGACATGAAGACATGAAGAGGACGGGGTCAGATCTTGTTGAATGCTGCTACGTCGACACTCTGGACCTAAAATAAAGCAAAAAAATGCAAGTGTACCAGGATTATTCACGACAGCGAGTAACTGCATGAGATACTGTTCCTGATGTCACCCTGAAGAAAAAAAATGACTCAAACTGTTCTTGTACAACTGCTCGTGTTATGGAGTCTTTCAGCTTCACTTTGTCCCTTTCTGCCTCAAGGTGGCAGCAGTGTGCTGACTGTGGCAGATAATGTGATGATTCTGACACACTGCTCTTATTTTCCTAGGTGAGCCATCCTCACTGAACCTAATCTGTTCACTCCAGCTTCTCTGATGCTTTTAATCTATTTTAATTTCTATGTTTGAGTATGTTTACCTACATTTTAATGATAAAAAAATGCATATATGTAATTAAAATTAGCATTAAAAGAGTAAGGAGGAGTAGAGGGGAAACGGTGGCTTTGTCTATTAGCCGTTTTACTATTGCAAGTTAATGCGATTTGGATTTCAGCAGCAGATGGCTGTCCCTCCATGAGCCTGGTTCTTTAGGTCTTTCCAGCAGTTTGAGTGTTCTTCCTTCCTACTGTCACTAGAGCATCATTTGATTTTGGGGGTTTTAGTGGGGTGATTGCTATTGTGATTATTAAATTCTGGATGCCCAGTTAGTCTGTTATTGTATTGAACAAGACTTACATAATCCTCAAACTTGGTGATTTCCTCCTCTAACATGTCTGTTCCCACTTTGTCGTCCTCCACCACACACGCAATCTGGAGCTTTTTGATGCCGTATCCAACAGGAACCAGTTTGGACGTCCCCCATAACAGACCGTCGGCCTGTACTGAGCGCACACACTCCTCAAGCTTCGCCATGTCCGTTTCATCATCCCACTAAAAGAAGCAGAAAAAACAGACAGTGAGCTTTTTTTTCTTTTTTAAATAATTGACCTATGACCGGGCTCAGACAGAGCAGACTTACAGGTTTGACATCCAATAAGATGGAGGACTTGGCGATGATGGCAGGCTTCTTGGCCTTTTTCTCTGCATACTCTTTCAATCTCTGTTCTTTGAGTTTGTCTGCCTCTTCATCTTCATCACTACCAAACAGATCAATATCATCGTCGTCATCCTCCTCCTCCTCCTCTTTAGCTGGGGTGCTGGTCTTCTGCTGGACAGCGGTGCCCTGAAGAAAATTAAAAGAGTAGAAACATCTCTGGATTCTAAAAGGTGAAAGCTGGTTGAATGTTTAAAAACTCACGTTTGTATAAGGGACTGGAGGAGCAGAAGCTGGGCTGACGGCTGCAGGAGACTTCTCCAAAACTGCAACCCGACATTCCAGTTTGGAAAGTGCTGCCCTCAAGTTCTCCACCACTAAAGAGACATGAGATACAAGAGTGCGTTTAGCATGAATGAGGAACATGTGAATATGAATAAAGAAGTGATGCATATTCTAGCAGATCAAACACTGTGAGAGTTAAGACAACAGCACTGAATAATCCTTTAACTTTACAACCAATCAAATGTAAATCAGTAGTTAATCCTGTTCATTCACTTGTCTCTGTTTTACAAAAGGTCTCCAGCTCTGTAGGTCTGCTAGACTGGTGCCTGCATTTGCAGTTAGAGAGCTTGTTGATTAGGGAAAAAAAGTGTGATGACACCATTTTCATGTATTTTTAAAAAAAAATCCTGTCAAAGTAATTTGATCATTATTAGCTGCAGTTCTAATAATACTTAACTTCAGCTGAGGGCACCAAAATAGCTCTGCTGTAAGTAAAGAAGGAAAATGCATTAACACCTGATCAAAGCTGAAAACAAACCCACCTTTGTGTAAGCTCTGGTTCTCCAGCTCCAGGCTCTTGATGCGGGAAACGAGTTCTCCGTGATCAGCCGAGCTGCTGCTGATGCTGCTGCCTGTGCTCTGAACCGCAAAGACAGAAACGGAGAGGGATCAATACAGTTTAATGAGAACATCTGATGGAGGATGTGGAATATTAGTCGTTTCATCAAACAGAACACCCATGTGTGAGAAAACAGCAGGTTGCAGTCTCAACAGCCAGGCTCTAGAGCCAGAAAGTGACAGCACAAGTATGCAGCAGTTTACAGACCCCAGTAGAAATATGCAGGTGACTGTGTCTGAATTGGAAACTGCACAGAAAAGGCATCTGTAAGCTGAGGTATTCAGATCAGTAAAGTGTGGTTTTCAACAAAGTCCACTGACAGAGGTGCTTCCAGTGACACACAAGCTTTGGAGGCACTTACAAGCTGAGAATGTTGGCTTATGGGAGGCTGAGCAGACCCTCTGTTACACAGTGTAGTCTTCAGCTTGGGGCCAGATTTCAGGGAAGAAAGGAAATGAGGAGAAGGGAAGGAGCAGGATTTATTGAAGTTCATGCCAAAAGGAGAGCAATGAGGAGCACAGAACAGAAAGCAACTGGAGCAACCACAGGAAATAAACAGAGCTCGGAGGTCACAGAAGAGATAAAAGACTACAACCACATTTTTACACTAAACCACATTTACACTTTAGAGCCTTCAGATCAACAGAGAGCTTCAACTCAAACAAAATCTCCCTTATCAGTTAGTTTAATCCATCTCCGTCAAGGAAATGAAAGCTAGGAAAAGTCAGAGAAAAGGAGGGCAACTGGTCCTATGTGTATTAGACTGTCACCATAAAATGATAGCACTATAGCTATGTTATTTCTAAATTAAAACTAGTTTTTGAGCTATGCCGATGTCAGACTGCACTATTATTTCTTTTTAAAAAGATGATGATCACAGTGCCTGATAGTAGTCTGAACTGGGCATTATGTGAATATGTAAGCTAAGATTAGACAGCTTACATTTTGGAATAACTTGAAATTATTTCCAAGACAATTTCAATTTGTCATCTCCATTTACCTAAAAGAGAAAGACACTACCCCCAAAACTAAAAGGCTGGATGCTCTGATCTAAATGGTCGGGACTGGTGGAATTATATTAGTATGCATACATGTACTTGGATAATTTAAGCACTTTTAATACCACATCAATGTTATCCATCAAATGGAAATACAGCGTGTTCGATGATACTTACCCCTGCTAGAGACTTTTGGATGTTCTCCCGGGCCCGGGCAATGTCCTGAAGAATGGTGTTGGCGCCAGCATCCTTCAAGAAAACGAACAGCTGTCAGTGTCAATTCATCTCTGACTTTATGACGCAAGGACAGACTCCACAATTAGAACATTTCATTCCAAAATATTAGATTGATTTACACCCCCCAAAAACAAACAAACAAAAAGGAAAAAAAACAAAAACAAAAAACTGCATCTATACAGCTCTGGTCAAACCAGACCTCTAGCAGATTTGTGCTGCAGGTGCCTTTTGTATCATTTTAATTAGTCAACTAATTATTCTGGCTCAAAACACATGGTTGTGTCCAAAATCCCAAAATTAAGGCTTCAGAATCCAAAACCAGCAGATGTTGTTACAGTGGCGATCTACTTAGATGTTTACATTTTAATGTGGCCTGCGACCAAGGCCGTAATTTATTTAAATTACAATGTAATTATATTTACATACAAATATTTAAGGTTGGTACACTAGAATAAGGAGCTAACAAGTCAGGTTTTTACAGGAAACAAAGATAATTATACTAAATAATTTTAAGTACAGCGCAAGTAAAAAATAAATAAATAAATAAAATAATTCAATAATAAATAAATAATCAACATAATGAATATTCAATAATGATGTACAAAAATAATAATGTAAAAAGGCAAGATTAATCCACTTCATAATACCAAAATGCCCTGAAAAGTACAAAATACTAATGATATAAGATGGCAAAAAATTGTTTGTTTTCCCCCTAAACTACCAGGAAATTGTGTAGTACTTAAAGTTACTTAAAGTACAATTATTTTCTGTTTCCAGTAAAAATGTCCTGTATCTACCTTTAAGTATTTGTATGTAAATATACTTACATTACAATCTCAAATAAGATACGCTGGAATTCGTCCTTAGACAGAAGGTATATTCTAACGTATTACTTTATTTATTTTTAATTACAATAAAATATAACTTCAAATTCAGCCTGTGGAATAATACAGTTTTGATCAAATACAGAACAGAACAAACAAAATCTATGCACTGTTAGAATCTAATCTCTACGCAAAGACACTTAAGATGTAAATAATCCACATTAATATGGTACAATGGTTTCAGATTAGATGTGATGATTAAAAGCTTAAAGCACAAGATTTAACTTGTAAGGCAGCGTGGTTACCTTTGTAGGTTGTGGTGAGCCATTCATGTGCTCGTAGAAGCGCCTCTCTGCTTCGTCATAGCGTGGTTTGTCAAACCAGATCTTTTCCTTGGCCAAAAAATCCACTGCACTCATTTTTCTACAAAGTAGAAAGCAGGGAAGGAAAAGACAGGGATGTATGAACAGGACACAGAAGGTCAGGGAAAAAGGAAATGAAGCCTAAATTATTACTAATTCTTATACTAAAAATCACTCAGCATACAGAGATTTCACCAATACAAAATCTGACTTTTTATTCTGTAAGAGACTAATTTTAATTTAGTTTTAAACAGCTATTCTCCACCAACAGCCACCCCAATCCAACTATACAAATGCATAACAAAAAAAAGAGGATGGTAAAACACAACAATGGGTCAGATAGTCAAAACACAAAGCATAAGGAAAAGATTGAACACAGATGAATGACAAAGAATGGCTTAAAGGAAAGAAAAATCAAATTCATGTGGGAAAAGAATGGAGGTGATATGATGGTCAAAAAACCCAAAAAACAAAAGATGAACTGAAACATCTGGAGCAGTTCCCTTCTCCCGGTTTGATCATACTTGTCCCTCAGTGGGGCGGCCGAGGCAACTGATGAGGCTTCTGCTTCTGGCCTGCGCTCCTTCTTCACAGCTTTATTCCCACTGCAACCATGGAAATGGCTCTCAGCAGCATCATACCGCCACTTGTCCAGCCACACCCGCTCACTGTTCGGATGGAGGAAATAGCGAACTCCTGCAGCTGCTACTTCTTCCTTCTCCGGGAGCTCAGCCGGCTCCTCTTCCTCTTGTATCGGGTGCAGAGCATGGAAGACCTCAGCTTTCCCCTGTGGGACCACACGTGTTTCCTCTGCTACAGTTTCTTCGTTTTCCTCCTCCTCTTCCTCTTCTACAAGGCTTTGAGGGTGGTCACTACATCTGGAAGTAGCAGTGCAGCTGGACCGTTTGGTGGAATTGTTACCATACAGGTTTTGGTAAAAGGCTGCCTCAGCACGGTCATAAAGTGGTTTGTCCAGCCACACGTCTCTGAGCAGCTCCACTGGGATGCGGGGCAGTCCGTTAACTGATTGCCGTACGGTTGGTGTGATGGCTGCTTGGATGACAGGGGTTGCAGGAGTTGGGGCTAGAGACTGATATCCTTCATCAGGTGTTCTGGATGCAGTGGAGCGACTGGATGGAGCTTGAAGGTCCAGAGAGTTTGGAACTGATGGCTGCATCGACCCCTCAACAAAGCGGCGTTCTGCTTGGTCAAATGTCGTCTTGTTTACCCACACTGTTTGTACAACATGGTGGCAGGCCACTTGGTCACCATGGTTGCATGATGGGCCAGCAGAAGGTGGAGCTGCAGTGGATGAAGAGTTCAATTGTTTCCCGGAGGATGGAGGTGATCGGTTCGACTGGGTGGTCCCATTAGAAGAGCTTGCCAGCCAGCACTGGTAGAGGCTCTCTGCTCTCTCGTAGACGCTCCGTTCAAACCACACATTCGCGCACTCAGACTGCAGACCAATCAACCCAGAGAGGTGATCAGACGGCTGACTGCTTTGTTTGTTTTTCTCCTCGCTCTTGTGCTTGTCGACTTTTTCTTCTGGGCGGCTCTCAGGATTAGACAAACGTTTTCTGCGGCGACGGCTTTTGCCACTACGCTTTCCTTCTCCGTTTATGCTGCCGCTCTCCGGAGACGACGACGCGGTCTCTCCATTTCTCTGGCCTGGCTCGGCCTTCTTTCTACAACCCAGCATGGTCTTTGTGGACTGATCCACCTGATAGTGGCTGGGGGGCTGACCATGCTCTGACTGATCATCTACAGAGCTCTGGGTGTTCTTCTTAGACATCTTTGCGCCGTTGCGGAGACAAAGGAAAGAGAATAACAGGCACAGGCTTTTGGGTTAGTGAGAGAGAGGCACGGAGGTTTAAAGACACAAAGGGGTCGATCTATTTTACACAGTGCTGCTGATGAATTATTGAACTTTTGCTTTGTTACAGAGATGCACATTTATGGCAATACACTACAAAACAAATTCTACAAATCGGTAGCAGAGAAAAACATGCAGCATGCAAGCAGATGGTGTAGACTGAAGTTAGGTGACTGGACAAAGTCTGTCACCTTGAGAATTCAGCACTGCACTTTTCACACTTTCGCCACAGCAGAGAAAGGAGCAGGACAGTATTTGGAGACAAGTCCATCATTTCAAAATGCTAATGATCAAAGCAATTACGAGACGGTTTTAGCCAACTGGCTATGGAATACACATTTTTCCTTAGCATTTGGCGGTTGCCAGGACTGACTGGTCTGTAGGTTTGTGTGACTCAGACGTTAGTGCTCATAGTGGCCAAACCTCAATAAATGATGCTCTTGGTTGCTATGTCATCACCTGTTGGTTTAGTGAAGTCCTGTTATGGAGTCTCGAGCTAAGTTTTTCACCATATTTTCAGACTGTGAAACAGAATGCTTACTGGCTTGTCAATCACAATGGATAAGCTTCACTTCTGACAAGATACATCGTAGCCTCTACATATGCTCAATCCAGAAGTCTAAATTAAGCTTTGCCCCAATAAAGCAAGTTAATCCACAAAGACTTTAAATAATTGTGAGAATTTCTATGTAAAAAAAAAAAAACCCCAATCCTTTCCATGTGGTTATGATTATAAACTATTAATTCATAGAATTAGTAGATATGAGATACTGTTCATACAGAGGTGCCTTACCCCATTAATACACAGGCAATGCATGCCTGTCTGACTGATGTTGAGAAACAATAATTTTAACATATTGCCCAGTTCTAACTAGAGATGGCACGATACCACTTTTTTATGTCCGATACGATATCATAAATTTGGATATCTGCCGATACCGATATGATTCCGATATAGTGTGTTTTTTAATAGATAAAACTGTTTTTTTAATATCTTGCTGCATTTTGCATAAATTCATACTGAAGTTTAAATAAACAACAACACTAAAGCTATTCTGTTATACCTGTATGTAAAAAATACACTGCACCCAAAAGATTTCGTAGTTCAGCAACACTGATCAATCTAATAAACTTAAACCTACTCCATCCTCCCTATTCTAGTATTTTAAAGAGTACTTAGCAGAAATATTAAGCAACCTAACTAATAGGGTTGCAAACTCCCAGCAAAAAAAAAAAAAAAAAAAAAATAGGGAACCACCCCCCACCCTCCACCTCATGATGCTTAATCGACGTAATCAACTTTAATTTCATGCAGTGTGAAAAAAAATGCACAGAAATAAATTATTTTTCAAGAACAATTACATAGATTCAACATCTTTCTTCAACAGAATTGCAGACTGCACAGCCTTCCCAAAGGAAAAAGTACTATAGCTTACTAGGGCATATTAGACTTAATAGTTACTATATACAGTAATGGACTTCTATATATTTTATATAAGATTAAAACTTTGGGTGTAAGATTCAGATAATTATTTATTAAAATCTAGACATTTTAAATGAGAATAAGAAAGAAAAGTGTCTTTGTGCCCCCTTTTCCCTGTTCATGCCCTATCCGCCCCCCTGGCTAAACTTTGCTAGATCCGCCCCTGCACAGTTACCAGCACTCAGCTACTTAGAAAAAGATCCTGGTGTAGAAAGTAATATTAAATAAATTCTAACAACAGTTTATCAAGCTTAAACGTGCTGCTGTTATTCAGCCGCTGGTTTCCTCTTTCTGGTGCGAAGTGGGCCAAAAACAAACAAGAGAGATGGACTCGCGACAGAAAAGCTGATCAGCTGATCATTAAGCAGTTTCATGATTGAAGTAGCAGCAGGAGAGGGAGGGAGAGAGAAGAGGCAGTCGCACCATATATCGGTTGTTAAGCTTAACGTGGGAATGCTTTACAAACATTCAGAGATGAACTTACACACTTGTTTTACTTCTCTCTGGGATCACTTCCTCAGAGATGAAATGTTGGTTTGGTAGCGAGGCTCCAAATACACACAGCCGCTCTATCACGTGAGCACACTGCTCCGACGTGCTACGGTTATGAGCCGAGTTAGTGTCGCAAGTTTCGTGAGGTGCTTTTTTGATATTTAATGGATCGGATTACATTTTTTTATTTCTCTCCGATATCCGATCCAGTAATTTACGTCAGTATCGGACCGATACGTAATATCGGATCGATCCATCTCTAGTCCTAACCCAGATCAATCGAATCTAATTTTTTATGAGTTTTCTAGAATCTGATTTATCAATCATGTCTTTCACGGAGGACACTGTATTATCAGAGCTAGTAAGATATCCAGCATATGCCATAGCTTTTATATTATTAGCACCATTTATGACTAAATATTTATGCAAAGGATACACATTAAACTGACCTTATAATGCACTCCTTTGTTTACAGCTTCCATTATGTACTTTACAAACCTTAAACAGCTTTGCAACACTGAACATACACAATGACATGATAGCAATCACAGGAAGAAAAGGGGTCATTGAGTAAAAGAAAAACATTAGTGGACCAATCCAACGCATGCGCATGCAAAATAAATAAATAAAATTAAAATAATAATACAGTAGGTATTACAATTCAGACATGCACTAAATCATGCATCTTTAAGTTTTAGTAATATACTACAATACAGCAAATGCATTCCCTATTGTTCATACAGAGCTTAGTTAAAATGATCCAAACTAATACAAAGCTATAACAACTTTGGGTACTGGTTTGGGAAGTCATTTCCTGCTTGATGTTTATGAGGAGATCTTAGTCAATCTGTTAACTCACCTTCTTCAGTAAAGGTGTTGAGCTCAACCTAGTATCAAAGTCAAATGCTCAACACGTTCTTTTCATCCAGTTAACCGCAGCCATTGAAAAGAAATTTATCAATCACCACCTTGCAAAATGAATCAGACAATACAAGGGATACAACATTTAAGGAGGGTGGAAACAGTACAAAAGACGGACATAACTACCATGATGTGACCCATTGTTTTCTGCACTCCTGTTTTGAAGCCAAACGTTTCTACCATTTCCATTTTGGTTGCAAGAAACTGGATGTGACTTGAAAGGGTATGTCTGAATGTGAAACTGCTTGGTCATTGGCTCCCGACTTGTGATTGACAAGCCGTTAGCCAATGAACAAGCAGAAAATACCACTGATAAGCCTCCTATTTGACATGTGGTAGGTTTAAGATTTTATTGAGTATGATCTTAAAGGAGTAACTAAGACAAAGAACTAGCAAAGTGTTTACAGAGGTCAAAACAGAAAGGCTTTTTTCCTCATAGACTAAAGGACAGGAACACTCATTGAAGGCATAGTTATAGCCATCTTTAGGCTTTCAGACTAAAAACCGGTTTAAGGCACTTCCACATCGGCTTAACTTTTTCAAACCAGGAAGCTACATCCATCTTTTGTACTGTCTGTGCTCAATGCAAGGTATGTGACAGCGTTACAAGGAATACTCACATGTGAAATTCTGAAGGCAAGATGGGAGAAGACAAGCTATACATTAAAAAATTTATCTAGATCAGATAATCAACATGAAAGTCAACCTTTCCGCAGTCTTTAAATGGCTCCACTTTTAGCCTTGGATGATGCTGAATGGGAAAAATGCTTTCACTGAAATCCAATTTAATCCTAGAACATGAAGCAAAACTTGGACCCAATCCCCCTTCAGTTGGGAGCAGTTTATTTTCCTCTACATCATCAAAAGTAGACATTTGCTGTTAAAGCACATCACACCTTTCAATACTCAATCTAATTAACAGATCAAACAAATTAGATACGATGTGGAAAACAGATTTTATCCATCTTCTTAAAGAACTGCTGCCTAGGCTCAGCTGCGGTAGGAGGGGAGGTTCATTTATCCGTTTCAATTTCTGTGCATTTTCAGGGAGAGTGTATCCTGTATTGAGGAGCTCCACTAGCAGCCAGTATGGTTGCCTGTCACTGAAGTTAAGAGGATAGCACTGTTGGTGTGTGTGTGTGTGTGTGTGTGTGTGTGTGTGTGTGTGTGTGTGTGTGTGTGTGTGTGTGTGTGTATGTATGTATGTATGTATGTATGTATATATATATATATATATATACACACACACACACAACTAAACATACTCTTCTGAAGGCACCCCAAAAATATTTCATACAGTAGGAAACTGCCGTTTTTAATTTAGCTTAGTTTTATTAACAAAAGTTAATACTTAATTTCTTGGGAGCTATTTCGAGCTGCAGCTCTGGTGAGTATTTCTGGCAGCAGGGTGGTGCACTGGGTGCTGGATCAGCTCAAAATAAACTACATGGCAATTTTGGAACATGTCATGGCTTCAAGCAGTTTTTGGAAAAGAAAAAAGAAGAATTCTATGCAATGGTTGATTTAGATATAGATATATTTAGATATAGGCTGACGTATGCTTAAGACAGCTTGATTGTCGGTTTTGGCTGGCTCACAACATTCAGTTGATATCCCTGTGACTTTATAATTTGGAGAAAAATGAAATCACCCCAGACACCCTGTGGCATTATATAGAATATGCTTTGTTCTCCTTTGATGTAGAGTATCCTTGCATGTATATAGTTGGTGCAATTTCATTCACAAATAATTTAATTCATCAGTCCCTCCTTGATAACATTTAAAGAGGGTGGCTGACAAAGAATATATACGTGATTTAGAACAACAAGAATTCACCTCTCCTGCCCTGATCTGTATAGAAGCTCATCAGTGACCATGTTGCAGGATTCAAGGCAGCACTTCCACTTAAAGATACTTGTGTAACGTCATGTAGAAAACCCTGTCATGCCAAATGCTAAACAACAAAAGACAGAGCATCAGGAGCGCTGTCAACTTCCAAAGGTGCGCGCCCTGCTAACCTTAGCCAGCTTTCATCTTCTTTAATTCGGTCCTAGCTAGAATTCTGCAGTAGCCATTTCATTTGCACCGGAATAAGTCTACTTGTTTTAAAACGTGGCCCTAAAGAGCTTCTTTTTAATACTGACAATGCCGTAAAAACCTAACCAGCACAAGCAGCCACTGAAGCCGGTATCCGGCAAGAGTGACTGCCGCTCCGACAGTGTTAGCACTAGCACGCTGCTCATTCAGCTAGCAGCTTGCTAGCCACGGCTAATCCCAGCCAAGCGCCTGCTCTGTTAACCACTGAATATCCATCAGTTTACCCAAAATGTATTTTAAAGATTCCCACCACTAACAACCACACTGAAACCTGGCTGTCGGTCGGCGTTGAGCTTACTTACTATTGTGGGGGGTTTTTTGTCTTGTCGGTGTGAGGCCGGGCCAGCGGATAAAACGTGTTTCTCCGGTGGTGAATGACAGCGGGAAGGAGGAAGAAGCGGAGAGGAAGCAAGGAACAGCGGTGATTGTGTGATCTTAGCGGGTGGGGGAGGGAAGGTATGAATCATTAATGTTGCCTCATGCTCTGTGTTGAATGTCATGTCGTTTTGATATATTAAAATTGGAATAAATGTGACACTGGAGTATTTGCATCTCACCAAATTAGGTCACAACTCAGTTTAAAGCTACACCTCATAATTTCCAACCGCTGTCTTAGTATGACAGGCTTTACTGTTTATGATACCTTCACTCAGTTATTATTGTAAGTCTCTAAATTATTTACATCTGCTGTTATAGACAAATCAGTGACAAAAAAACAATGTTTCATTCTCTTTGATCTAGATTTCAAATCCTCTGAACTTTTTATTTCTATTGTTCAGCCAGTTCAAGTGAACAGTCTGGAATTTTGACTCATATGACGCACTGGCAGATGAACTATGTAATGTTATTCAGGGCCAGAAAAGGTACTAAATGGACTTGTCTGGAAATTTATTTTTCAAGATTACAATTAGTTTTGTGGTGCCTTTTGTTATCAGTGAACTCATGACTTTGTCCATCAATCCACACACACCCATTCATTCATTTTTTAATGTGTACACAGGTCTGGGCTGCAGTCTATAAAGAGACCAGACCTTTCCTCCCTAAATGCAAACTCAAGCTTTTTCAGAGGAATTCCCAACTGAGGCCCACCTCTCCTGGAGCAGGAAGAGGTGGGCCTCAGGTCCAAGTTGAGACCTTGCTAATGGAGAAGGGGCTCCATGTGGCCTAAGACGCAGCAAATTGTCCACCCTCTTCTACACCCACAGCACATGCTTTGTGGATCAGGCCACAGTCAAAGGGTAATACATTGTCAGTCAGATTCTTGGCTGACCACTGACTTCAGATCTAACAATATTCAGTGTATAATTTCCCAAAACAAATTAAAACAAGAATTTATCGAATTTATCTTAAATGATTTATCCATATGGCTGCCTATTAATGTTTCTTTCTAGGCTTACTGACTCATTGTTGCAGTGGCTTGTTATCTTTTGTATTGAAGGTCAGAAATTAAGTCTGAGCTGTCAGCTAATAGCTGGTTTCAAGACTCCAAAACTAACAGAAAAATAAGGAACAGAACCTGATAACATGACACTTTATGAAAATTGATACTTATTTTTAAATTAGAACCATTTTTTTTTCCATACACCATGTTATACACAACCATACAGTAGCTATACTTGGGACACTATCATTGTACTGGAGCCACACAAATGTGATTACTCTTATCCTAAAATTTAGACGTATGCTTTATCCAAACAAATATTAAATACAATAATAATAATTTAAAAGATTAAAATGATCCACTGACTCTACATTACAATCCAATCAAGAGCAGTAAGGCAGTACAGCAATGAAGATGTTCATAACAGGGGCTTCTGTAGTGATGATGAACAATATGGTCTGCATAACAGCTTTTTTTCTACTCGTTTAGCCTCTCCTTCAGCCTTCGAGTCTCACGTGACTTTTAGTAAATGTGACAAGTTGGATTTATTCAGCATTTCGTTATTAGAATATATATCAACAAATACTGGTACAATCAAATTTGGGTTGTACCTTACTTGCATCCAAATCCAATAAGACAGGGTTATTTGAGTGCATGTAAAAACAGAAGTCATGGTCTAATATTAAACTGTCAGAATCAATTTTAAGATTAAGCCAATGTTGACTTTTAGCTTACAGAGACTGAAAGAAGATGAGAAAATGTGATTTAAAAAAGGGACAACTTGGGGGTTTTTTTGAGTGTGATGAGAAGAAGAAAAAAAAAAAAGGAGTTCAGGTTTCCATGTTGGGTATTTATCAAGTTAAAAGTCTAATGAGTAGTTCTTAAAGGCAAATTTGTCCATCACTTTCTGCTCCCTGCTGTTGACTTTCGGCCGAGTTCCCTGGCTCTCTCTGTGGCGGACTCCACAGCACTCATGGTTGACGCCCTCACACCGCCTTGTTCCAGTGTGTGAAGCCCATATATGGTTGTTCCACCTGGCGTGCAGACTTCTGAGCGAAGTTGAGCTGGATGCTTCCCGGAATCACGTAACAACCTCCCAGCACCCTGCAGCAAATAGCAGCTTTCAAATATTATATTTGGACACGCAGGAGTCAGAGCTCTGAAGTGAACTGTTGTAAAACAGAAGTGAGCAAAGTGTTAAACTGACCAGAACAGTCTGAGAGGCAATGCTGTGGGCTAGAGCGCTTGGCATGCCCATTTTAACAGCTCCTTCTGCCAGAGCTTCAGCAAAAAGATACACCTGCAGAGAAGAAGCTCACTGATCAGAATAAAACATGAACTCTGTGTCAGTAAGTCATTAAAGACTCTGGAAAAAGAACAGTTAAAAGAAATCATAAAAAGCCCAAAATTGACATGACATTCATGACCATGGTGAGCTCAGGTAAACCTCTGAGCTCAACTGTGCTCCCAGGAAGCTCAACTTCCAGGCAGGTACTACCAGTGACAGTGAAGAATACCACTGATTGACACATGACCTGGGTGTAAATAGATTAGAAGGACACCTAGGCAACTGGAGCCTGGAATATATAAGCAACCGTCATCTTCAAAGCAATGTGTATGGTCTGAGAAATACAATTGTAAACAAGAAGTTACAAAAGCCGCTTTTCCATTAGTACCTATTTTCACCACGGTTTTCAATTAGGTCCCAGTACCTGGTACCAGGGTTCCAAGCGATCCTAACAGGCACCAAGACGTCACCAGACTGCATGCCAGTGATTGGCCGGTTAGGAGTGTCATTTGATGTGTTATGAGAGCATCTCGTTCATGAAAATCAAAACCACCATTTTTGAAACCCAGCAACGGGTTAAATGGCTACCAAAAGCAATGCCATGTTCCCCAAGTCTGACGAAAAGCCACAGAGCGAGCAGCACGTATATTCTTGCCTGAACTTCCACCTTTTTTGTAGTGTTCGAGTTGCATACTAATTACGTCATGTCATGCTCGGACACATTGCTATAACAACAACCACACACATTGGGTTGTACTCTGCTGCAATGGAAAACCAGTCGATCCGAGTAGGTACTAATGGAAAAGCGGCAAAAGACTTCAGATAAAACAAATAAACCAACCAAAAGAAATAAAATCTAGGACACTCACAAAGGCTACTCCGCTCCCGCTCAGCCCAGTATGGATGTCAATCCAGGCTTCAGGTCCCTCCTCCACCAAACCACAGCGATGCAACAAGGAGCGAAGTAGTGCGCCGTCCTCCTGTTTTGCGTGTGATCCTCGAGCAAACAGGAGAGCACCTTCCTGAACTAAACACGGTAGATTTGGCATCAGCCGGATGGCAACAGAGTTCTCAGGAAGGAGCTTGAAGTTAAAAGAGGACAAATATAGATAGATCAGCATTGAAAGTTACAGCTCACCCTAAAATGAAATCTGTGCATGCACATAAGTACAATTAAATAAAAAGAATTAAAAAAAATTAAAAAAAATCAGCAATTAATAAAATGTAACATGCAAGTAAGCAATTATAATTTGGCATATTAATAAAGAAAAATGTGCTTTTTCATAAAACATAAGAACAAGAATCATATTTTAGCATTAAAATATCCCCTTTATTAATGAGTTTGTGCACACTGGTGGATTAAGCATTAGAGAACCAAATGATGTTGTAATTACATAGACTGCTAATTTAGGGCAGCTCAGCTGTGGCATAAAGATGTAACTGGGTGATGATCTGATACATGTGAGCACTGTATATATAATTTGTGTGTGTAGTATTAGTTTCAGGTAGGAACTATTTTCTTTCCATACAACTATACCTTTATTTGGAACCTTTATTTGTGCCTCTGCCCATGAAGACAGGCGACTCTACTCTGATGTTCGCTAGCTGCACTCTTCTATTGGTAGATGGAGGTGGTATACAAAAAATACTTGAAAAACTTGAACATGAAACTGCTCAGAGAGATCCGTGGTATTTGAAATAATGGTTCGTGATTTCCATAAAGAGACACTGCTACAGAGTTAATAAAAATATACAAATTGGGGAGCTTTGAGCAACTTATACACAAGAGAAGAGAGACATCTCTGCAGCCATCTCAAAAACTCGTTCACACCATGACAGTACAGACATAAACACACTACAAGCCAAAAGAAGAACACAAATCTGATTCAGTGGTAATCTGTCCCTTAAAAGACACCAGAAACTATGTGGCACTCACCTCCTCTAACGTTGCTAGTGTTACTCCTGCTGCAACAGATACAATCATGTGTCTGCCAGTGACGTGTTGTGTGACCTCCTTGAGAACTAGCGGAACCAGGTGAGGTTTGACTGCGACAAAGACCACATCAGACCCACAAACCACCTCTATGTTGGAGTGAGTTACAGCAATGCCCAGCTCCTAAAAGCAAGCCGGTGTAATATTACTTAGCCGAAGCACTAGCTCGGACACAAGATCAAATCATGCTGATGGCACACAATTCCTTTATATTGTTAATTTTTGCAGAAGCATTTACATTTCTAGGACTTGGAAGATGTCCTCCAGTATTACAATTATTTGCTTATGACATGATTACAGTTCATGTTGCTTTCTAAAACTCTGCCATGATAACAGACTCAGTGTTGTTTCAGTGATATTAGCAAACCAGTGTTTAATGCCATGCAAAGTGCTGTTTAAGAGTTTAGAGGAGAGGAGTAAACTTTAAATGGTCAATTAATCATTTACTGGGTCAACTTTAAAAAAAAATAAATCTATTGGATATAATCCAATTATCTATTCAGCAACTTTGTTTCTCTCAACAAACAGTACAAAGTTGCAAAAAGTTATAGAAAATTATTTTTCATTCTCAGGTGAGAAAAGTGTAAAACACTCATCAGTCACCATAAAAATATGCTTTTGGGAAAAAGAAAAGAAAACAGAAAAACAAAACACTAAAGTGGTCTGACGAGTGATTAAACCCAACAACACAGTTTGCTGACTCATTTTTGGGGAAAGATTCAGCAGACTGAAGCTTAATAACCACAGCTGTCATAGACAGAAAGGTTAGGCCCCAAATCTAAAGTGGTATACATTTCATTTCCAAGCAGTATAAGAATATATAAATGCAAAAACCACCTCTCCAAAGAGCAAATTCATATAACATTCAAATCATTAAATGTTCGTGTAAAAACACACACAAAGTTAACTTAAGTGACAAAAATAACAAGGGGTTAAGAGAAAATGCAGTATTGTTTATTGCGGTGCCCTGTAGTGGCCAGATGCAATAAGGTTTTTATTTCTATTGGTCACAGTGTTGCTAAGATATGACTTTACTTTCTGTTTGTCAGCTTTCCACACTTATGATTAGCTGTGACAGCCAGAAGACCTCCCATGTCAGCTTTAGTGACAACTGAAAAGAAAAAAAAAACAAACATTTGGGGCTTGTGAAAAATTGTAATACCCCTTCATAAAACCCAGTGGTTTCACACCGGGCTTGAGAAATCCAACGCTTCCTTGTTTTTTAAAATCTAAACTAAACTTTGATGCACTGATCTATTGATGCAAGCCGAAAGACGATGGCCGTAATCTAGGAACTGACTTAAAAAATGATCTCTGACTTCATTAACACTGAGACTGATAAATGGACTCTGGTCAGGACGCGCTTTAATGATCCTTAAAATAACCTTTGACAAGAAACCTTTATGTGGATCTGGTTCAGGCTGACCCAATGAGACCATTTAAGGTGATTTTCAGTAGAAAATACATCGAGTTCAGATTCTGAATTTCAGACATTGTACCTTTCAAAACATGGAGGCATCATTTAATGACTGAATTTCAACCTGTGACCACATTTTAACATGAACTGCTTAGAAAACAGACTGTCTGCAGTTTTGCCTTAAAGTCATGTCAGGTTCACAGTCACATCATCCCCAACATCCCAGCTGTGGCAGACATTTTTTTTTTTAATAAGGACAAATGATTGATCATTGATCAGTTTTATATACGTTTGATTGAAACAGATTGCTACAGTAAATGTTAGCGGTACAGGAACCTAACTGACAGCCTGACACCTGCATTATTATACAAAGTATTAGCGTTAGAAAGATGGGGAGCACAGATTTTATATTCTGACCAGGTCATAGATCAATGATGTAATCGCCATTTCCATCCCTAAATATAGACGAATGAATGATCGTAAAAGTGCTCATGTTAATTACAAAAAACCCACATCATCTAACTGGGATTTTAGCATTTTTAAAACAAACTTTTGCAGTTTCATTTACTCCAGTATGTCCTCTGATGGTGACTTTATGAATGAAGAAATGAACGTGGATGTCAGTCAGTCGTTTTAGGTGCAGCAAGAGGGAAGAGAAAGAAACTCAGAGCAGGTTAAGTTCACAGAGTTTACCGATTGACTGACTCAAAGTTTAAGTTAACCGTCTTTCTGGAACAGAAAAGCCAGAATTTTCCTCATCTCAGAGTTAAAAAATTCAGTTGTTAGTAAACCTGATTCCCAGAATAGGGACCATGTCTACGAAAAGGTAAAAATGTTACAAATACTTACGCTGCTTAAAAATAACTGGCTGCTTCACTAGTTTTAGACTGAACTGTAAACTGATCTTCACCATAACTGCTTACTTCAATGCAAAATGATTCACACTGAGAACTTAAATGATAGAACAATAAACAAGATGGAAAAAAACCTCCACAATACCTGAAAGCGTCCCAGATTCCTTGAGGATGGTGCACTAACTTTGACGTTTGCAGGAAGGACATTTCCTACAAAGAGAACATTTATTAAATACTAATGTGTCCTTCATTCCAGTCCTCCTCACTTCTTCAGTTCTCTCTACACTCACCGGTTAAGATGCCTTTGGCGATGCCAAACGCCATGTTCCCTGCACCGATAAAGCCAATCTTAAGCTGAGAGTCCATCTCAGGGTCCATTTTGATCTGAAACCAAAGCAGGCAGCAGGTTACAGCAGGAACATCGAGATAACATGATGCCAGTAATTAAAAATCACCAGGATGACGCATTTTCCACTGTAACAAGGGTTTCACACGTTGTTGTTTGAAGATATTAAACTGTGTACATTTTACAGACCAAAAATAAATAAACTCAGGGAATGAATCCAGACAAGAATCAACACTAAAAACGTCACCACTCCAAAGACAATCAATTTGTGTTCAGATCTTTGTGTCCATGCATATGAGAAACCCGATTACTATGAGAAATCAGGTTAAAGCAAAAAAACAAAACAAACTCACACATATATGATAAATCCTAGTTGACAGGTGGTCAGTAATCAGATTCCCCTCCCTCTTCCAGTAAAATGCTGCCACAGCCTGGTTTCCCTGTCATAGGTCATTATGAAACGGCATCCTTTACCCAGTTCTGGGTTTGCAGGACAAAAAAAGGCTTAAGTACAGAAACCAGTCAGTGTGCACATCCGATTTCTCTCGTGTTTGGACTGCAGCCTGTATCACTGTATGTGGTCAATGAGCAACTGAATATTGTTGGTTTGACTGAACCTAGAAACACGTGACTCACACTCAACTGCCAGTCTCCCAATTAAACAAAGAGAGTCAATAGAAGCGCACATGAAAATATGAATAAACCCCACTAAAGATGCAGTGGAAAAAATAACAGTGGTGTTTGGACACATGTTGCAGAGACAATAATTTAAGTGTTTGTTGGGGTACACCTGGATTAATATAGAATTAAAATTGTTGCGTTTTTGTTGATCGATATTATAGTGTTGTTATTAGTGTTGTACATGTTTCTACACAACATCATACCTACTAATTCAGGAATCTGAATTACCCTTGTAATGGAAACACTTTAATAGGAAGCAGTGTATTTTTGTATATGTAAAAATGTAAATTTGACTATGTTGATACTGAAAGCTTTTCCTATGTTTTGTTTGGAAAATGATTCGAGACCGTTACTTACCTGACAGAATATTAGAAACACCTTATTTCAGTAACTGAGAGAGTCACTCTGACATTACAGTCTTAATGAATATAGAACTGATTGCCAGACAGGTATACTGTATTTAAATTTAAAAAGTGAGCTACACCTAATATCAGTGTATACTGTAATCCAGATGTATTAAAAAACAAGCAGACTATGACATCATGTAGCATGATCTACTGACTATTATGGCATATTTGGGCCATTTTAAGTTTAATTATGGAGCCAGAGAAAGGGTGTGTTTTCTTGCAAATTTAGTTGTAGTCTGATTTTTTCATAACAAACATACAAGTTCAATATTGGAGTGCATCTGTTTTTGATTTTTTGTAAATCTTTTTCTTCCCATTTTAAATTTGACACTTTAATATTTGAATCTACAGTAATGTGCAAACATCTTGAGTCACCCATCAATACTTTATCTTTTGCTTCCACCCTGCATGTGTGATGCTTTGGGCTCTTCGGTTTCATCAGAAATTGTCTCTGTGGAAGACGGTTTGCCATTGTTAAGGAAGGGAAATCAGGAGGCTGAGGTATGCAAATTAAACAAGAACTAGGTTGAAAATCAGACGCTCGGGTCTTATGAACTGATGAATCTAAATGTGAAATTTTTGGTTCAAATGATGTCCAGAGGAGGTCAGGAAAGAGGTACAAGAGTTAGTGTCTACAGCTATCGGTAAAACATGTGGAGGTTCTGTCATGGTTTAGGGCTGCATTTCAGCCAGTGGCGTTTTTGATCTTGCCAAAACTGCCATAATACCATCAGATTTTGATCCACCATGCAATACTATCAAAAAACCTGACTGGCAACGGCATCATTTTTCAACAGGTCAAAAGCCCAGACACATGGCCAATGCAGTAAAAGCATAACTGGACAATGGAACATAAAAAAAATAAATAAATAAATAAAAAAAAGACAATGGGGCGTGATCAGCCATGGACTGATCTCCCCAGAACTTCAACATTACTGAAGCAGTGTGGGATCATCTTAACTGAGGCAAAAAGCAGCAAAAATTTCCTTCAAGACGCCTGGAGATCTATTCTTGAAGACAAAGAAGTCAAAAGGCAATCAAAGCAAATATTGACTTTCAAGCTTGTTAGAGTTGTACAAACTGTTTTTGCCTTATATTCTGTATTTTCATGCATGCTTTGATTTCTCAATAATTCATCACACCCATTTCACATTTTCCTAGCAAAATAACTGAATGAGAAGTGACTCAAGACTTTTGCACATTACTGTATCCCGGTTCTCTCCTTCTAAATTTAGGGCTTTATACTGCCAGAATATTTGAACGTCTTCCCTTTTGAAAGTTGTATAAGTTTATATCTTTAAATTAGAATATTCGACACATTTACTTTCCGAAATTTTGAATTTCCAAGGAATTAATCCCCGTCTTCCCAGGCGCCATATTTCAGTTATTTTAATACCTACAATGGCCCTCCTACGTCATCGTAAATTACATACGACACCGCCTCCACGGTTATCACCCCTACAATTAAATCCAGGTTCTGGGTGGTATTGTCCGGGCAGGGCTGCGGCCAGTGTAGTACTGATGCTTCGCCATCTGACTCTTCTGTCACCTCGTCGTTTCTGTCAGAGTTAACCCCGGGTCCCACCAGAGGGTGTCTGGACTCCATAATAGCGACCATCGTCTTTTCATAGCGCCACCAGCCCTGTATTTTAGTTGGGGCCGGGGAGTCGGGCTCTCGCTTGCACTTGTAGTATGCGCTTTTGAGAAGTTTCCAGCGAAACTTTAATTGGTCCACGGATCTGTGATAACCAGCCGCTGTCATTCTCCTGTGTGCCACTTTGAACAGTTTGTTATTCCTCACTTTCCTTCCGTCTAAGCACTTCTTCATGTCCAGCTCCTTGAGAATTTCCAGAAACAACTCCGTTTCCTTCACGTCCCAGTTCTGCTTCTTGATGCCAGAATCGTCCATTGTTTTAGCAATGCAGTCTCATGAAAACTCACACGAACTAGCGTTCACACGGCTAGGTTGTTAATAGGTGCTAGCATGCCTGCTGTAGCATGAGCTGTTGTGATGTTGCTAGTTTAAAATCTTTAAGCAGTATTTAGCACGGAATCTTCAAAACCGAATCAATAAAAGGATTACAATTCTGCGTTTTAAACCCTCTAAACATGAAAAAAAAAAGCCCCGCTCATGCATCTGAATAGGAATAGCTTGAAAATAATCCAGGAGAGATTAGATTAGAAACACAATGCACGTGTTTCTTTTTGACTGGACAACTATAAAGTAACACGGAGTGACACAAACACGATAGCGTGAACAAAACCGGGTAACGCTGGCGGTAGGACATTTATTCACCTGATTTGTGTTTCAGATTTGCTGATATCCGGCGTTTTGGCAACCGCAAACAGAAGTTAAATTTAAACCGTGGATGCACCCAGAGCATACACAGAGCCAACCAGCTGACTCTAGCTCCACTGTTGGTTCGTTTGGTTTTTACTTCACTGTCGCTGCTGTTCCAGGTGGGCGGCGCCGCTCAGCATCCTCTGCGAAACATTCCGCGCATGCCGGTTTTTTTCCCGCCGTGTCCAGGACGTTTCAACCGTGAAATAAATGAAACGCACCTTTTTAAAGAACGTCTGCCATTCCATTGGTTGTGGCCTCGTCGTGACGAGAAGCTTTAAACGGGTTGAAGAAAGTTAGTGTCTGTCATTTGAATCAGCTGTGTGAGGGGGACGGGGGCGAGTGTTTTACCTTGTCAAGGACCTCCTTGAACAACAGGTATTTGTTTACAAATTATTCTATTTTATGCATTTAATAGGGCGTTTTTATTTTAACTGTTCATACATTTCGCAAAATATGATAGCTAATTTTTTGTTATTTTTTAATGACTGCAGTATTTTAAAATCGGGGAAAACAACTTAACATTTTTACAGTAAGCTAATTAGCTTCGTTTCCGTCCCGTTTAAGTCATGCAAAAGTGATTATTTGTTAATTAAATGATGTTACTGCAAGTATTCAGCAGAGCGCTGCAGCAGTGGGCATGCCTGGGCAAGCCTCGGTAGGATCTTCATTCAATCAGAGAAATAAATGGTAGTTGTTATTTCCACATTGTCTAATGCATCCAATGCAGCAGAAACTCTTTATAGTCATATACAGAATGCTAAATGCTAAACATCGTCACAATATTCGTTTAAATATGCACAGATCATCAACAATGTTGAAACCACCTGGCTAATGTTTTGTAGCTGACGGTCTCACCACCAGAACAGCTCTGACCAGTCCGGACATTTCCATAAATGCCTGAGTGGAATGAGCTCTGGGCAGTTTGGTGCTCGGGTCATTACCTTGGGCTCTTTGCTAAAGCTGTCCCTGAGCAGGTTTTGCCCTGTGGTTTAGGCACGTTATCAAGGGGTGTTACGATACGACCACCTAACATCCACAGGATTTAAGTTGGTTAAACATTTTTAGTTCTTCTCTCCACTGGTCAATAGTTTCGATGCGTTGGCTGATTTGCTCTGTTGCTTTTTGTACACGGCTCAACAACAAAAAAGAAAATTAAAGCAACACATCAGATCTGAGGGTTAAAAAAAAATCATGCTGCATATCTACACTGATATGAAAATGATCACCTTACAGAGGGCTGAATTCAAAGACATATTGAAAATCAAAGTAAAAAAATGATGCAGCAGGCTAGTTCACTTTGTGGAAATTTTAATTGCAGCTAGTCATAATGGTACTTAGTAATTTGTATGGACCCCTGCCTGCCCCCTGCCCAATGTGCTTGTAAGCATGCCTGACAAGGTCCGGGCATGGTGATGGTATCCTGAGGGAATCTCCGGACAGTCTAAGATGCAACCTGCTGGTGTTCAATTAGTTGAAACATAATGTTCTACAGGTGTTCTACTGGATTAAGGTAAGGAAAGCATGGGGGGCCAGTCAGTAATATCAACTCTGTCCTCCTCCAGGAACTACCGTCATACTCTCGCTACATGAGGCCAGGCAATGTTGTGCAGCAGAGAATATCAGTGGTGGGCCTGCTAATTCTGGTATTCTCTGGCAAATGCCAGTCAGGCTCCATGGTGTGGGCAGTGAGCACAGTGCCCACTAGAGGACGTTGGGTCCTCAGGTCACCCTCATGAAGTCTGTGATTGTTAGTGAGCACGTCCTTCACACCAGGGTCCTGCTGGAGGTCCTTTTATAAGAGTGTGGCAGTGTTTATCCTGTTACTCCTTGCACGAAGGAACAGACACTGATGGGATAAGGACCCTCTACAGCACTGCTCACCTCTGAGTAACTGCCTCCCAAAAGTGATTTAAAAAAAAAACAAAAAAAAAAAAAAAACCATAAACACACTTTAACTCAGAAGAGTTGAAGCTGCAAAGGGTGGGCCGACATCATATTAAACTCTTTAGATTAAGAGTAGGATGAGAAGTTCTTATGTATGTGAAGGCAGACGAGCAGTTACTTTTGGCAGTATAGTGTGGTTGCAGGGATTATGAGAAATGTATTTCCCATGTTTGATGATTTGCATGTGCACCTTGTCATGTTCTGATCCAGACATGGGTCACCTCATCCACTACCTGCACCTCCTGCTGGCCTGTCAGTGTCTCGCGGTCAACGGGCTGTTTGAATGGCTGAGGCTGACAGAGGCACCTCGAGCAGCAGCGCCTCTTCAACCAGCTGCAGTGGCTCCAGCACATCTTGCCAAAGACGCTCAGTTTGAGATGGCAACTGCAGATGAGAAGTTTTTAGCTGAGGCAAAGCAGATGGAGCTCAGCCCATTGGACAGCTGTCATTACAGGGTATGTGGGCCTTGAAAATGTGTATTTAATCCAACGGACAAATAAAATGTTTTTGAACAATATTAGGTTTGAGTTTGGAGAAGGCTGGGCAACAGTGTTATTAAGTGTCTTTCATATAAAATTCTCATGGCACAGTTTTCAATACATTGTTTAAACAGAGGAATCATGTTTCTCTGGTTTGTCTCCTCCTGTAGGTGATCGCTCGGCTAAAGTCGAGCTGTGACAGCCTCTCAGAAGAAAAGCTCGCAAAGCTCGGAGTGGAACTGTTTAACTGCCAGGCAGAGATTGAGGGGCGCCAGACGTACCTATGCACAGAGGAGATGGTAAAAATACGATCTTGTAGTACTTGTCAGAAATGGCTTTAAAAATATAATGAAAAAATATATAATGTTGTGTGCTAATCTCAATTTTATGTGTTAGACCATCAAAGAGTGCACAGCAGACATGGATTCAGATACATGGAATGCTTACCACATAGTGAGCAACCGAGCGCGCTCCGTTTGTTATGCAACTCGACAGCAGCTTTTCCGGCGCAGAGCAGAGCACACAGTCAATGCACTCATCTCCACAGCCACCAGCCAGCTAGATGCAATGAAGGACCTGAAGGTAAGGCTGGGTTTAAAAAAAAAAATAAATAAATAAAATAAAATTATTTTTATTTTGCAAATCAGTGGTTTCTTGGATTCATGGATCATTTTCAAACAGGAGGGCCAGGTAGAGTTGAAAGAACTGACTGCAGCATCACTGGACAAGCTGCTTGAAGGCCACAGTGTTCTGCAGGCTCAACAGGGGAAGCTCCACGAGGGCCAGGAGCAGATGACGAGTTCACTGAGGGACAACCTGGAGCGTCTGGGTCAGGAAAAAGCTCTCATCGCCTCTGGACAGGAGTTGGTAGCTCAGCTCATTCAGGGAATTACACAAAGAATGGGTGAGAATTTTACATTTTTCTGTATTTTTATTCTATTCTGTTAAAATTGACTTTGGGCGCGACTGCAAATAATCCGACATAAAGGCTCTTTTCATGTGCTAACAGTCAAATTGCAGCAGTTTGTAAATGGGTTTACTACTGACCATGGATAAAAGAAACTGTTTGTCAAAGTACTCGAAAATGACCTGATACAGTTCGATGTGCTGAATGACTTCTGGAAGTTTTAACTTTCCCCTTTTAAATAAGATAAAATATTGAACTGCAATTCTCTTTAAGAAAACTCTGTAAACACACCTGATGCCACATCATGTAGCATGGATTTTATTCTTTCTGTCCACCTTATTATTTTTTATTTTAGAGAATGTGAGTGAGCATCTTCAAATCCAGGGCTCTGAGGTGCAGGACAGCTACAAGGCGATTGTCAAGGACCTGGCAGATGTAAGACACCAAGCTCAGGACATCTATCAGAAAATTGGTAAATGGCTGAAATCATTTGTAGTTTATAAAACTATCCCCCCCAAGCAATGTGCTTACACATCTTTTTGTATGTGGCTGAGTAGACCACAGTATGATAGAGTTTCTGCAGTATCAGGATCAGACCTCCCAGTACTACACTGACCTGATGAACAAGTTGGAGTGCATGAACAGCACCCTGGGAGGCATGCTGCACTACCTCGATAAGATGCAGAGCCGCATAGAGGACAGGCTTCACATGATCCAGGGCTACCTCGGATGGGCAGGTGAGACACGGCAGCCATAGGGCACACTCCCTTTTTATAGGGTCTTTTCCTGCTACAGAGAAGTTGGATAATTGACTGTCAGCAGGACATATTTAGAAATTAATTCTTTACATTCTCTTTGACTAAAAAAAGGTTTCTGTATGACTTAAGAATTCTTTTTCTTGTGCTTTTTGCTTGAACAGGTTTAAGTCTGACAGCTATATGGACGTGCATCACACACACAGGCTACTTTGTACTGTGTGCAGTCCTGCTGACATTCCTGCACTGTCCTGGTTTCTCTCGAGCCATGCTGCTGCTAACTGTGCCTCTGAATGCAGTTGCTGAAGTCAACCAGCAGCCAGCGCTGGATCTCACCAGCCTCAGCCTGCTGCTGCTCACTCTGTCTCTGGGTATAAACATAAAGTCACTTATGAGGAAAATACATTAGCTGCAGTTTTCTGAAGCATTTGTCACAGTGTGAATTTTGTTTCTGCAGGTCACTGGTTTGTGAATCAGCTGTGGGCATGCTTCCAGATCACGAAAAAGCTGACCAGTCCACTGCTACTCAGCTCGTGCACCATTGTGGAACCGCAGAAGCAGCCTTGCAACTCTTATCCACCATCATCTACACCACAGAAGTGAGTATGTTGCACACTAGAACTGCAACTTGCGTATTGGTCTTTGAAAATGTTCAATTTAACGGACTTCACTGAATGTTAAGGCCATCACCATCTTGGTGTTTTGAAACTGGACATGGAAGAGGGGTGACGTCTGCTTGCTGATGGACACTGGTTGCAGCTATCAATTATAATATAGAGCAGGGGTCCCCAATCCCAGTCCACGAGGGCTGGTGTCCCTGCAGGTTTTAGATCTCACCCTGGGTCAACACACCTGAATCACATGATTAGTTCATTACCAAGAACTTCAAGACATGTTGAGAAGGTAATTTATCCATTTAAATCAGCTGTGATGGATCAAGGACACATCTAAAACCTGCAGGGACACTGGCCCTCATGGACTGGGATTGGGGACCCCTGATATAGAGACAGTAATTTATTAAATGAGAACAATGTTGTAGATGTTAAACTTAGCTAATGATTTAATCCGACTCAATCAGAAACTCTTGAGTTCACTGGTCAGTGCTCAAACTGGTAACTGATGATTTGTTCGAGTAAAAAATGAATTTTGAACTCTACACGGTCAGTAAGAGCTTCAGGCAGTAGAACATGTATTATTGTCTACACCAAATTAACAATGATTCCTTTTGCATCTATTGGACCTATTTTCTATCCTTTTGTGCTCAGAGATGAAAAAGATGACATCATTGAGGAAGACGACCTATTGAATCCGGACAGCTTTTTATCAGGTGGGAAACACATGCTGAACCTTTTTACAGTGAATCCTGTTCAAGAGCAGTGCTCTTTCTATAAATTCAGCTTCTCAGTTTTGCTGTCAAACATGTTTGTGTTCAGGTGAACTTGGCATATCAGCTGTGTCTCCACCTCAGAGGAAGCTTACGCCAGAGTCGAGGCTTATGCCAGTAATTGGTAAACCAAATCACTCCACTCCCAGGTTTATACCAAAGCCACTTTCTTCAGCGGTAAGCAAACTGAGTTAATGCTTTCAGAAATGCAAAAACTGTATTCTCAGTGCATCACTAGTGGCAAGCAAGACAAATATTGTTTAATTGAAATCTGTTTTAGGCTCTTTGTTACGATATACCCCTGAGTAACCTGGAAGGTGTTTTTGATTCAGTCACTGACTCGTCTGATTTAGGGAATGATTCACGAAGTGCAAGACCCACTCCATCGTTAGTCAGCAACAGGTCAGTAGCTCCAGTTACATGCACATATTTTATTTATTTATTTTTTCTGTTTGAAGAGCTAAATTGTTTATATGGACTGTGATTTAATGTACTTTGGTGTGTGTGTGGGTGTGGGTGTGTGTGTGTGTGTGTGTAACCCTGACATTTGAAATGAGCATGTCATGTTAAGGATTCTAGCTGCCAGTTCATTGCTATGTTACTGATACCAGTTTTCACTGAAATCATACAGAAATAGAAGTAAGAGTCTCCAAGAGCTTTTGGCCTATAGGAGTTGTTTCAATGTATACTGACCTCATTATTTGAAACTGTGGAATTAATAATTACCCTCCAATATAACCTCATTATAATGAGTAAAGGGGAAATATGAATTGTTAAAGGGCATCTTTCTGTTTTTCTGCCTTCAGCTCAGTGTCAGGCCGTCAGCTGTGCAATGGCCTCACAAAAAGAGGAAAAGTCTGTAAGAAGAGAGCCGTGCCAGGACAGGAGTACTGCAGAGTCCACGAAGGGGGGCACTCCTCGTATGTCCAGTTTTAACAGGCTCAGCTGTCTTTGTTGTCTGTAAAAACTGTATACAGTAATGAAATAGTTTTTACTAAGTTCTGTCTGCACTGCAGACAGCAGTAAGATTGCTGAATGAAAATTACATCTGTAGTTATTTTAAATGGTTTTTAGATGTTTATTTAGCTTTCGTGTTTAATAAAAATGAAAACTTATCAAAATTAGCTTTGTCAGAGTATGTGCATGTACACACAAGGAACTGGGCTCAGTTTTTTCTTAATTCCATGCTCTTTATTGCTTTCAATGTACCTAAGAGAACATGGAAACAGACAGTAGCAATGTGCCACAGCTGAACATGTATAGCCTATTCATAGTGGTGGGTAACTGGTTCTATATATAGATGGAGGGAGAGAGTTATGTGAATTTGTATAGTATATATTTTTTTCTCATTTCTTTTCTAAATGTACTTGTATATTGTATATTGTTCACATGTTGAAATAAATTACCTATCAATCAATTTGAGTATGTGTAATATAGGTATAACCAAAGAGTATTTACTGCATGGTTTGTTTCAGTAAAAGCTGTGGTGGACGTTTTAGTAGAGACAACATGTAAGCAATGGCCTGTGAAAAGCTGTTCTGTAGCACCTACCAAAGGGAGGAACTGGAAGAGGTTGTATCCTGGGTGTGAGTGTTTCCTAATTCTGAGTTTGTACAAATCGTTTCTTGCAGACCTGACTTGTCCACTGTAGTATGTTCTCGTCCTCTTTGGTTTGATTAATACACTGATGGTCATGCAGTAAACAGACTGGATTACTGCAGAGTAGAAATGGACCAATAGCTCCTGAGCTGGTGCAGGAGGTCCATCCTCTTCTGGGCCTCTTTGATAATTTTGTATTAGGTGGCAACAGACTGGATCCCTGAAACCTGAAGGAGCATGTTCAGCTGTTTAACCCCTCATTGGTATGCAGACTCATCACCAACCTTCACAAGTCTCATGATCACCATGCCATCTGCGAACCTCACGTTTTTAAATAGGCTGGTGTTTTGAGGTGCAGTCGTTTGTGTATGAGGATCTGCATTCCTCAAGGGCCGATGTCCTGCAGGTTTTAGATAGTACCCTGGTTCAACAAACCCGAATCAAATATTAGTTCATTACCTCTGGAGAACTTCAAGACATGTTGAGGAGGTAATTTGGCCATTTAAATCAGCTGTGTTGGATCAAGGACATCTAAAACCTGCAGGACACTGGCCCTTGAGGCCTGAAGGTTCCCCAACCCTGATCTATACACTTCTGTATACATCAGGGTTCTGTGTCTGTTATAAAGTGAAGCATGAGTAGTGCTGTCCAGCAGAACTGAATCCTTGTTTTGTTTTTATGGCATCTGAACATATAGAGAAATAAAAATCTCAATCTGTGACATGTCTTTCATTTCAAGGGTAGGACACTTGAGACACATTGCAAATATAAAATATTTATTTTGCTCTGATTAGTTTAAAAAAAACAAAACAAAAACAAAACACTAGCCCACATAATGCTCAATTATATAAGCTGGATCAATCAAATCCCAAACCCTTCAATAACAAACTAAGTCAAAACAATTCTGATTTCTGAATGTTATGTTGTGCCAGCACCTGGATTACAAGAGTGAAGCAGCCCTATGGGCTCAAAATGTGGTCATAAATATTTTGTACTTGTAAATCAGGATTTGTATGTGTTTAAAAAAATAAAGATTTGTGTGCGTAAAAAGAATTTGTATATGTAAAAAAGATTTGTGCGTGCATAAAAAAAATGTGTGTGGACTTAGCCAAAAAAAAAAACCCCTGCAAGTTACAAGTACGAATTTTGACCCTATTTTTCTTCCTTTCATCTGATTGGTCAATGTCATGTCAATCACAAATGTAACAATCCAATCAGAGAACAGATGGGTTTGGCTGTCAGAAGGGCGCTTTTTTTGAACTGCAGGTCTTTGAAGGGAATAAATGCCCTTTTACATGCCAACCCAGCGTTTTCCTTCATCACCACGAAGGAAAACAGTCTGTGGTCGTCCAAGTTTGGTGATTTTTGTGTCACAGGTCTACGTGTTTAATACAGGGACTTCAACAGCCTTTTCAACAGCACTGCGGACCGCGGGGTGGGGGTGGGTAGTGTTTTGGAAATGACAGTCTTCATCACAAAGCTTTCTTTGGTTTGAATTAGCATACATGTTTTTGAGCATTTGAAGAACTAGCAAAAAAAAAAAAAAAAAAAAAACTCTTGTAGAGGACATAAAGTCAGAGATAGAAAAGACAAGGAGCAGGTGCATCTAGTACAGGTAGAGCAGCTGCAAAAACCCACAGAGCTCAGCAGCCAGCGCAACAAATTCTGGATCCTTTGCTCTTAGTTAGCAGTTAGCAGCACATCCTTCGTCCGATGTGAAAGGACTTTTATGCTGCGCACTGTGACTCACAGCAATGGTCCCGGGTCAGCCCTGACTTTGTGTTAAACTAATCCTAAAGTAATAATGGTGTTTGTAACCACTGACATACCACAACTTTATCTTTTCAACAGCTGCTGAAAGTTAGGTGACCTAGCTGCTATCGGATATTTATATAGAGATCCTCAAGCTTCAAACTGTATTACCCTTCAAGGACCTGCAGTTCAAAAAAGCGCCCCTCCGACAGCCAAACCCATCTGTTCTCTGATTGGATTGTTGCATTTGTGATTGACATGACATTGACCAATCAGATGAAAAATTGGGTCAAAATTCGTACTTGTAACTTGCAGGGTTATTTTGGCTAAGTCCACACACAAATTTTTTTTTTTTTTTTTTTTTTTTTTTTTTTAAAAACACACACAAATTCTTTTTACTCATACGAAACTGATTTACAAGTACAAAATATTTATGACCACATTTTGAGCCCATAATTTCCCAGCTGAAATGATTAACGCTACAACAGTGAATAAAACTCTAAAACTTCTTCTTACGGGTCGTAGAATAGACGATGACATCATTTTTCTTTTACTGAAGGACAGTAGACCCCACGATCTGTACGTTCCTAAGACATTCCACGCTCAGCTGGATGATCTAGTTTAGATTAAAACAGTTGGATTAAATCTGAGATGACTGAACTCTTCCTGCTGGTAACACTGATACTGGAAACCACAATCAGCAACTCTGCAATTTAAGTTAAAACTGGGAGGGAAGGAAAAAAAACAAAAAAGACATCCAAGATTACATGTAGCTCAGTCAGTACCCTTTAAAATTCAACTAGAGAAAAATGTAGTGAGGGACAGTAGAAAAATGGCAGAAAAGCTTTCTTTTACAGCATAATTAATGTCAGTCCTTTTAAAAGCAAATACAAAGAGCGCCTAAATGGGAAAACCAGCTGAAAGCACCTGAATTTAGAGGGCGTAGAACAGGGCTGCCCAATCCCAGTCCTTGAGAGCTACTATCCTGCAGCTTTTAGATGCATCCCTACTCCAACACAGCTGAATCAAATGGTTTGATCTCTTCAGCATGCCATCATGTTTGGCAAAGGCCTGATAACAAGCCATTCATTTGATTCAGGTGTGTGGGAACAAGGATGCATCTAAAAGCTGCAGGACGGTAGCTCTCGAGGACCAATTGCAGGAGTCACCCCCTGCTGGCCATTAAAAAGAATACAGGTTTAAGGCACTTCTGCATTAGCTCACAATTTAGACCCTGCAGCTACACCCACCTTTTATACACAGACAAGGATTCTAACCAGTTCCTGACACAAGAATAATGCCACCATGGCTCGGTGGCATCATTTCAGTCCAATACTTTTCAAACTGGTATTCTGACAAATCATCCAAGATTGAATCCAGCTAAATAGAGTCCATGTACCGAAAAGGGGTCCCAGGTCCTGCACCCAACATTCAGCACAAAACAGTATGGTGCTGCAGAAAGAGGGCAACAACAGTAAGACTCAACACCAACTGCCTTGTGTTTGTGCTGTGAAGCACTTTGTTTTCCACGAGCTCTCTCTCCACCACCAGACTCTTTACCAACACAACAGCAGATGAAACAAGAATTAGCACCGATTTTTTTTTGGCAGTCTTCTCACTTCCTGGCTGTGTCATAGTTGGCAACAAACCAATCACAGGTTTCCTTTAAAGCTGCAAGTGAAAAGAACCAGGCAAGTCAGTAACTGATGGAGTCTTTTGAAATTTCTACACTGTTAGCATCTAAATGTCAAGCTTTACATCAGCCGCACCTTGGTTGAAGGGGGTGAAAGTGAAGTCTGGTAGATACCGGCACAGCTTTGCATTGCTGGCCGTCTTTTTGAACTGTCCATCTGCTTTACTGGTGTCAAACTGAATGTCACGGGTAAAGGAAACAATGAGACAACAAGAAGCAATGTTGGGGTTTTCTCTATAGTAGTCTACAGTCTTTACTTTACAACATAAAGCGCTTTGAGGCGACTGCTGTTGTGATTTAGCGCTATATAAATAAAACTGAACTGAATTTAACGTTAATCTTCCAAATCCACTGTCAAAAACAAATAACTTGCATTACTGAAAGGATACCACGACTTCTCCTTTAAAGCCCAATGCAGCAACAACAGCTTCTGCTGCTTCTTTGATGGACACTTCATCTTCCTCACCAACTGGAAGCAACAGATGTAGCATTATAAGAACACTTATCCTTAAACTGCCATCATCATTGAATAGTCAAAGAGTCATAGAGTCTATGAGGACTCACCAGAGAGAATGATTGGCTCAACTTCTGGATACTCCCTCAGGACCCAGAGGAAAAGACGAGCCAGGTCCAAAGAGTAGATGAACTGTCTTCTAGGTGTGCCAGAGCCCCAGACCACCAAGGGTTTCCCCCCCTCTGAACAGTACAACATGTAGATGAAGTCACATGTCCATTTACACCACCAAAAACTTGTAAATGCTTAAAGAGAAATGCTGGAATGACAATGGGGTTAGGGACTTAAAAATCCACAACTTACTTTGAGCAATGTATGCTTTATGTATAAGACCTGGTAGCACATGACCGTCTTCGATGCTAAAGTTGTCATGAGGACCAAACACATTAGTGGGAATCACAGCTGTATAGCAACGCCCATGCTGCTGTAAATACGCTCTGTGAAGCACACACAGGAAAAAAATGTCATGAGGCTGAAAGTTTTAAATGCATTTCCTGAAAAATAGGCAGAGGCATTATGCGAGGGTGACACATAACAGTATTGGAGAATTCTCAAACACTAATATGTCCTGTGAAACTATACACATGCTAAACAGAAGTATAACTAAAAACTGTTGGGATTATGTTGGTCAGCCGCAAGATCATGATTGTTTTACCCCTTTGAAACACCCTGCATTTGTTGATCTTTTAAGACAACAGCTTCCTTGCTGGACTTCTTGAAAATAATTAGAACTGTTCTAAACCAGTCTGCCAGGGAGGGATTTGAGAGCTGAGAGAAAGCACAATGCGGTAGAGGATAGAAATGACACATAGAAGACATAACGTACCTGTTGTGGACATCAATCATCCTCTTTGCATAGGCGTAGCCAAAGTTGGACTCATGAGGTGGACCGTTGTGGATCTGTAGTAAAGAGAAGCGCATGTGAGCTGCTCTTTTCCAAATGTGCTGATGCACAGAAAGAGCAGGGAGGTATATTCACCATGGTCTCGTCAATAGGATAGGTCGTCTTATCAGGAAAGATGCAGGTGGACAAGCAGGAAACAACCTTGACCACGCCCGCTTCATGCGCTGCCTGCAGCACATTGTCATTGATGTAAATGTTGTTCCTCTGGAAAGTAAATAAAACAGGATGAGCATCAAAAACATGAATCTAGATAGTCTACGATCATAGCATTTCTATTAAATGAGTTAATTAGATGAACAGGTTCCTCATACCCAGAAGTCCAGGTTATATTTCATGTTCTTGAAAAGCCCTCCAACCATAGCAGCCAGGTGGATGACGTGCGTAGGCCGGTGTTTCTCAAACACTGCCCGGGTCTGGTCCATATTCCTGAGGAGAGGCCACCAGCAGGTTAATAGTATCAAAACATGTGACAGCATTTTATCTTGAAGCGGAGCAACTCTCACATGAGGTTGGCATCTTTGGAGGACAGGAATATCCATTCCTCCCCCTCCTTGGCTCCTCCTTCTTTCACCACATGCTGTATGGCCCTGCCCACCAACCCGGATGCACCAGTCACCAACACCCTCATGGGATCGCTCATGTTTATCTAGGTAGTGGAACATGAACAATTCAGCACAGGACGAATCACAGGGAAACTCTGATTTAGATACAAGCTATAAACATCGTCAAACTTTCTAAAGCTAACAGGTTTATCTGTGTTTTCATGCAGTAACGTTTGCTATTTGTTAGATGCTTCCTGATTTTTATCTGAGGTGATCTGACCCGTACAAAACGAGCAGATGTTGTACATATATAGTTGCATATGTGCCACGTACACCGCACACGACCATTCAGACAAGCTAACCTTATTAGCTGTTAGGTGGCGGTAATCGCCGTCATCGTTCCTTGGAACTCGACAAAGTAAAAAACTGATTACCTCGCAAGTTTACTTTTCTTCCTAAACGCGAGATATCAGTGCTAGAAATCCTCGTTAACTCGGAGTTAAACAAATAAGCTAGCATTAAAAAAAACAAACTCTTTTACCTGTTTGAAAGCTGAGAACAGAACAGAGAAGCCGGTTTCTTCTCTTCGTCGCCTCTTCCTTCTTCTAAATTTAATTGGCGGTTGTCAAAGAACTGAATGGTGCATTACCGCCACCAACTGGTGTGGAATGTGACTGGAACGTCGCTCAAAAGAAAAAAAAAACCCTCAATTCCCCCTAAGCCATTTATTCTCTTTTAAAAACTGAAGTAAGGTCTGATAACGTTTACTTCTAGAGTCCTTTTGCAGTATACCAATAACATCTAGTTTCATTTTTACGTTACTCAGGTTTTAGGTCAGTTGTCTTCTCTCCATCTGAGCTGCTGCATCTTCTTCTTCTATCTTTTTATGACGGTTGGCAAACCACTTCAGGTACATTACCGCCACCTTCTGGACGGAGATTCTTTTCCGTAGGCTGTCCATTCACCATCCTTCCCTCCAGCGACCCTAGAGGCTTCTTGCTGGTTCACTTTTATCTCTTCCAGGTGTATGCATTCTGTCTCTTCAGCTACTTTTCTCTTCTTTAAACAACTACCGCTTTCCCACACTGTCAATCTCAATACTGACGTTACTGTAGACCAGTCATCTTCGTGCCTGCCTTTTTCGAGCAAATCAGCCTCCGTGTTGCACTCTTGTGAAACCCACCTCCTTACCATCTTCACCTTGGACATCTCAGTGGGAGCTTTATTCAAAGCCGAAGTCGTCATCTTCAAAACCACCAGCATCTAGACCAAGGGCGTAGATTTGGTTTTGGCATTGGTGGGGACGGATGATTCAACCACCGAACTCTGCCCTGTTTCTTTTTTTTTCCCTTTTTGTTTTTGCTTCTTAATAAAAAGAGGAGAAATATACTTGCCTGCATATGCTATTCTACATGCTTTTAAACCATTTAAAATCACAATTCATAGTTTTATATGTGAATTCTATAATGTTAAATTAATATTAAACAAATGACTGACTAAGTATTTTAGGCTTTAGTTTACTTCAGTCATATTCCATATAAATCAGGTATCATACAAAAATAAAAATAGCTTCAAATACAGTCATGACAATAAAAGAATATGACTTTAAGGACTTAACATCATTACTTCAGTTATAGTACACCAACATCTGTTATATTTTGGCACTAAGGGAACACTGAATGACTACCCATAAAACTACTCATCTAAGATTACCACAAAGTAAAAGATCTCTCAGCAAAATTATGCAACAGTTTAGGCACAATATTGCCCCGATCAAATCAGTGAGCTGAGATTTTCTATTCTAAACATGAACTAATGTTACAGCAACAGACATGGGCTACTGGTGTCCCACACAACAACTGTTTGTAGGGTGAGTGCATTTTTGTGCAAACTGCACTACAAGGTGGATATTTGCAAAATCATGACTACCTCATGACATTTTGTCTCAAAAATTAACCCTATGAATATGTCAGTGCCATTAGGATGAAATTATTGTGTCACCAACATTTCTATGTTAGACATATAATTTTAACAGCCTCTGTAAACTAATATCCTGGCTTGCTCAAAGCCGCCGTTTTCTCTGACAGTTTCAATCAAAATTAGAAATGCTACTCTGAGATAACTAACAGTGCTGCCTGTTGTGCAGTTAGTTTCCAAAACACGTTATTCGTGGCTACATACAATTTTAGACTGATGTGGGCCAAAGCCTAGCATAGTCTGTAACGTTATTATGACGGACACATCTACAGTGATGAGAGCAGCTACTAGATTTTTATCCGATCTTGGATTCTAGCTGCTCACTTTTCATTGCTGTTGTAATAGCTACAGTTTAGTATACTGTAACAAACAAGGGCTTCCCTGAAAAATGTGTTGCTCTAACCCCTATATATACCTTTCAGTATTGCTGGGGCCCTTCCAGAGCATACTGCCAGTTCATAGATGCACCATCATACCATCAGAGCTGCAGACTCTTGATAATAAGTTGGAGTTTCCTCTTTAGTCTGGAGGACACAGTATCTATGTTCTCTAAAGCTGGTGGAACTTGTGATTTTATACAAGTACCATCTATTTTGTAAAAGAACATTTTGTTTTTAATAAAAGAGACACGTGTGTCTGATTAAGTAATAAAATGTTCCAGAGAAAAATACAGTTTTATAAATAGCAAAACATCACAACACAAAACTCCATTTACTTTATTTCATAGATGTATTTATTTGAATTGCAACATCATCTTCCTCTGCTGCTTCTGTCTACTGAGGAGATGAGAATCTGCCAAAGAACAGGACGGATTTGGTCTCGTTGTGTCTGATGAAGAAGAGGAAGGGGTGATCTGCTGTGAAGTATCTGGTCCATCCAGAACTAAGATTCCTGGACACAACACCTGTGGCTGCAGCGGCCTGTGTGCCCTCCTCGTTCACCTCCACAAAGACCTTGTGGGCCACCGTAGACAGGAAGAGCCCCCCTTCACCGTTCATGCCAGACAGGTCAGCGCTTCCTGCACAGAACACGTCCTTCATACCCAGTTTAGTCAGAGGTTCATTCAGCTCGTAGTCTTCCTCCAGCTTGAACTTTGGCAGGTCAACAAGAACTTCTAAATCAACTTCCATGTTTTTCCTGTCGGTCCATTCATTCAGCCTCTCCTGTGTTAGCTCCTTCTCCAGCTGGAACACAGTTAATACATTTTGTCATATTTCTTTTGCTCATATTTAAATTCATTTTATACATGAAATCAGAAGCAGTCTGTTAAATGATCAAAATTAAACATTTTACAGTTTCCTGTATTCAGACTTTGTGTCCAGAATTTGTAACCTTCAGTTAAATTTCTACCTGTTTGATTTTAAAGGGCATCTCTTTGGTGTTTGCCTCTTTAAACGGGTTCTTCCAGTTGCCCTTGAAGTAGACAGCATTGACCAGAGCCAGTCTGGTATCTGCGTTTACTGTTCCTGGCTTCAGAAGGTCTTTTATCTTATCTGAAAGGAAATACCGAAACACAACAATATTTCATTACACAGAGGATGCTAAAATGATTCCCTGCTGTTCAGGCTGTGGAAGATGCACAGTCTCACTTTCTGTCTGCTGCTCGACCCAGCTGTTGATCTCGGCTCTGCACGCCTCTGGAGCTCCGATGAAGTCCACAGTCTTCAGGTCTGCCTGGTAGTACTTCTGTGTGGCTTCAAGGAAGTCCTGCAGAGAGCAGACATCTGTTTATTAATCCAGTCTTTGTAATGAAGAACTTTATGAAGAGAATCATTGATGTGGACACTCACTGGGAGGAAGTGGGCAGTGTTTTCTCCATAAAGACGGTTGGCTAGTTTCAGGATGTAGGATGCAGATGGTGAGTTGATGTCAGCGTTCAGTTTCTGGCAGTCTGCATGGACGCCTTCACCTGAGCTGAATGAGAGGGCCTGTGTGGCATTGAAGACAAAGACTGAAAGGATGTGACACTGAGCCTGAGCGACCCTAATGTAACAATTTATGGTCCAAAGGCAGAAACTGGACAACTTTATTCTTTCAGCATCAGGTTTAATAATAACCTTTAACATACTGTCAGTCTCACTGAACATCATGCTCTCAGTAACTATACTGCTTGTGCGTTTTATGGACTTTCATGCCATTTATATAACACATTCCATCCTCATATGGTAGACACAAATTTCTGATGTCCCACTGGAAACATCTTGGGGTTCAGTGTTTTGGATACATAGAAAATTAAGCTTTTCAAAGATGTTAAATGAAACCCCAAAATTTATTTATTTATAAATCTACCGAGGACAAGAATTATTAGTTTATTAGTTAGTTTACTATTCAGCCAGCCAGCACGCTTGTAGCAAAAAATTTCAGATTTTATATATATATATATATATATATATATATAAAAACACCCAGCACGCCCCTGCGGGCGGTTTATCCTTCAAGCTCGGGTCCTCTACCAGAGGCCTGGGAGCTTGAGGGTCCTGCGCAGTATCTTAGCTGTTCCCAGGACTGCGCTCTTCTGGACAGAGATCTCCGATGTTGTTCCCGGGATCTGCTGGAGCCACTCGCCTAGCTTGGGAGTCACCGCACCTAGTGCTCCGATTACCACGGGGACCACCGTTACCTTCACCCTCCACATCCTCTCGAGCTCTTCTCTGAGCCCTTGGTATTTCTCCAGCTTCTCGTGTTCCTTCTTCCTGATATTGCTGTCATTCGGAACCGCTACATCGATCACTACGGCCGTCTTCTTCTGTTTGTCTACCACCACTATGTCCGGTTGGTTAGCCACCACCATTTTGTCCGTCTGTATCTGGAAGTCCCACAGGATCTTAGCTCGGTCATTCTCCACCACCCTTGGGGGCATCTCCCATTTTCACCTCGGGACTTCCAGGTTATACTCGGCACAGATGTTCCTGTACACTATGCCGGCCACTTGGTTATGGCGTTCCATGTATGCCTTGCCTGCTAGCATCTTGCACCCTGCTGTTATGTGCTGGATTGTCTCTGGGGCATCTTTACACAGCCTGCACCTGGGGTCTTGCCTGGTGTGATAGACCCCAGCCTCTATGGATCTTGTGCTCAGAGCTTGTTCTTGTGCTGCCATGATTAGTGCCTCTGTGCTGTCTTTCAGTCCAGCTTTGTCCAGCCACTGGTAGGATTTCTGGATATCAGCCACCTCCTCTATCTGCCGGTGCTACATACCGTGCAGGGGCCTGTCCTTCCATGATGGTTCCTCGTCTCCATCCTCTTATACATATATATATATATATATATATATATATATATATATATATATATATATATATATATATATATATATATGTATGTATATATATATATATAATATATATATATATAAAGACAAATCAAAACAACAAAATAAAATAATTTCTTCTGTATAGAAAAACACAGACAGCCACATTTGACTGCTTTTAAACTGTAACGAGGGCTTGAAGTTGCACAATCATGCTCGCCGATCAACTGACAGCTGGTGCAGGGAACAAGTGACAGTGAGCTGACCTGAGCGATCTGAGCTGCAGTGTCTCCTTTAGCTCCCAGGTAGACCATGGCCAGGGCTGAGCTGATGCTCAGAAGAGAGACAAAGTTAACTTAAGTGACAAAAATAACAAGGGGTTAAGAGAAAATGCAGTATTGTTTATTGCGGTGCCCTGTAGTGGCCAGATGCAATAAGGTTTTTATTTCTATTGGTCACAGTGTTGCTAAGATATGACTTTACTTTCTGTTTGTCAGCTTTCCACACTTATGATTAGCTGTGACAGCCAGAAGACCTCCCATGTCAGCTTTAGTGACAACTGAAAAGAAAAAAAAAACAAACATTTGGGGCTTGTGAAAAATTGTAATACCCCTTCATAAAACCCAGTGGTTTCACACCGGGCTTGAGAAATCCAACGCTTCCTTGTTTTTTAAAATCTAAACTAAACTTTGATGCACTGATCTATTGATGCAAGCCGAAAGACGATGGCCGTAATCTAGGAACTGACTTAAAAAATGATCTCTGACTTCATTAACACTGAGACTGATAAATGGACTCTGGTCAGGACGCGCTTTAATGATCCTTAAAATAACCTTTGACAAGAAACCTTTATGTGGATCTGGTTCAGGCTGACCCAATGAGACCATTTAAGGTGATTTTCAGTAGAAAATACATCGAGTTCAGATTCTGAATTTCAGACATTGTACCTTTCAAAACATGGAGGCATCATTTAATGACTGAATTTCAACCTGTGACCACATTTTAACATGAACTGCTTAGAAAACAGACTGTCTGCAGTTTTGCCTTAAAGTCATGTCAGGTTCACAGTCACATCATCCCCAACATCCCAGCTGTGGCAGACATTTTTTTTTTTAATAAGGACAAATGATTGATCATTGATCAGTTTTATATACGTTTGATTGAAACAGATTGCTACAGTAAATGTTAGCGGTACAGGAACCTAACTGACAGCCTGACACCTGCATTATTATACAAAGTATTAGCGTTAGAAAGATGGGGAGCACAGATTTTATATTCTGACCAGGTCATAGATCAATGATGTAATCGCCATTTCCATCCCTAAATATAGACGAATGAATGATCGTAAAAGTGCTCATGTTAATTACAAAAACCCCACATCATCTAACTGGGATTTTAGCATTTTTAAAACAAACTTTTGCAGTTTCATTTACTCCAGTATGTCCTCTGATGGTGACTTTATGAATGAAGAAATGAACGTGGATGTCAGTCAGTCGTTTTAGGTGCAGCAAGAGGGAAGAGAAAGAAACTCAGAGCAGGTTAAGTTCACAGAGTTTACCGATTGACTGACTCAAAGTTTAAGTTAACCGTCTTTCTGGAACAGAAAAGCCAGAATTTTCCTCATCTCAGAGTTAAAAAATTCAGTTGTTAGTAAACCTGATTCCCAGAATAGGGACCATGTCTACGAAAAGGTAAAAATGTTACAAATACTTACGCTGCTTAAAAATAACTGGCTGCTTCACTAGTTTTAGACTGAACTGTAAACTGATCTTCACCATAACTGCTTACTTCAATGCAAAATGATTCACACTGAGAACTTAAATGATAGAACAATAAACAAGATGGAAAAAAACCTCCACAATACCTGAAAGCGTCCCAGATTCCTTGAGGATGGTGCACTAACTTTGACGTTTGCAGGAAGGACATTTCCTACAAAGAGAACATTTATTAAATACTAATGTGTCCTTCATTCCAGTCCTCCTCACTTCTTCAGTTCTCTCTACACTCACCGGATAAGATGCCTTTGGCGATGCCAAACGCCATGTTCCCTGCACCGATAAAGCCAATCTTAAGCTGAGAGTCCATCTCAGGGTCCATTTTGATCTGAAACCAAAGCAGGCAGCAGGTTACAGCAGGAACATCGAGATAACATGATGCCAGTGATTAAAAATCACCATGATGACGCATTTTCCACTGTAACAAGGGTTTCACACGTTGTTGTTTGAAGATATTAAACTGTGTACATTTTACAGACCAAAAATAAATAAACTCAGGGAATGAATCCAGACAAGAATCAACACTAAAAACGTCACCACTCCAAAGACAATCAATTTGTGTTCAGATCTTTGTGTCCATGCATATGAGAAACCCGATTACTATGAGAAATCAGGTTAAAGCAAAAAAACAAAACAAACTCACACATATATGATAAATCCTAGTTGACAGGTGGTCAGTAATCAGATTCCCCTCCCTCCTCCAGTAAAATGCTGCCACAGCCTGGTTTCCCTGTCATAGGTCATTATGAAACGGCATCCTTTACCCAGTTCTGGGTTTGCAGGACAAAAAAAGGCTTAAGTACAGAAACCAGTCAGTGTGCACATCCGATTTCTCTCGTGTTTGGACTGCAGCCTGTATCACTGTATGTGGTCAATGAGCAACTGAATATTGTTGGTTTGACTGAACCTAGAAACACGTGACTCACACTCAACTGCCAGTCTCCCAATTAAACAAAGAGAGTCAATAGAAGCGCACATGAAAATATGAATAAACCCCACTAAAGATGCAGTGGAAAAAATAACAGTGGTGTTTGGACACATGTTGCAGAGACAATAATTTAAGTGTTTGTTGGGGTACACCTGGATTAATATAGAATTAAAATTGTTGCGTTTTTGTTGATCGATATTATAGTGTTGTTATTAGTGTTGTACATGTTTCTACACAACATCATACCTACTAATTCAGGAATCTGAATTACCCTTGTAATGGAAACACTTTAATAGGAAGCAGTGTATTTTTGTATATGTAAAAATGTAAATTTGACTATGTTGATACTGAAAGCTTTTCCTATGTTTTGTTTGGAAAATGATTCGAGACCGTTACTTACCTGACAGAATATTAGAAACACCTTATTTCAGTAACTGAGAGAGTCACTCTGACATTACAGTCTTAATGAATATAGAACTGATTGCCAGACAGGTATACTGTATTTAAATTTAAAAAAGTGAGCTACACCTAATATCAGTGTATACTGTAATCCAGATGTATTAAAAAACAAGCAGACTATGACATCATGTAGCATGATCTACTGACTATTATGGCATATTTGGGCCATTTTAAGTTTAATTATGGAGCCAGAGAAAGGGTGTGTTTTCTTGCAAATTTAGTTGTAGTCTGATTTTTTCATAACAAACATACAAGTTCAATATTGGAGTGCATCTGTTTTTGATTTTTTGTAAATCTTTTTCTTCCCATTTTAAATTTGACACTTTAATATTTGAATCTACAGTAATGTGCAAACATCTTGAGTCACCCATCAATACTTTATCTTTTGCTTCCACCCTGCATGTGTGATGCTTTGGGCTCTTCGGTTTCATCAGAAATTGTCTCTGTGGAAGACGGTTTGCCATTGTTAAGGAAGGGAAATCAGGAGGCTGAGGTATGCAAATTAAACAAGAACTAGGTTGAAAATCAGACGCTCGGGTCTTATGAACTGATGAATCTAAATGTGAAATTTTTGGTTCAAATGATGTCCAGAGGAGGTCAGGAAAGAGGTACAAGAGTTAGTGTCTACAGCTATCGGTAAAACATGTGGAGGTTCTGTCATGGTTTAGGGCTGCATTTCAGCCAGTGGCGTTTTTGATCTTGCCAAAACTGCCATAATACCATCAGATTTTGATCCACCATGCAATACTATCAAAAAACCTGACTGGCAACGGCATCATTTTTCAACAGGTCAAAAGCCCAGACACATGGCCAATGCAGTAAAAGCATAACTGGACAATGGAACATAAAAAAAATAAAAAAAAAGACAATGGGGCGTGATCAGCCATGGACTGATCTCCCCAGAACTTCAACATTACTGAAGCAGTGTGGGATCATCTTAACTGAGGCAAAAAGCAGCAAAAATTTCCTTCAAGACGCCTGGAGATCTATTCTTGAAGACAAAGAAGTCAAAAGGCAATCAAAGCAAATATTGACTTTCAAGCTTGTTAGAGTTGTACAAACTGTTTTTGCCTTATATTCTGTATTTTCATGCATGCTTTGATTTCTCAATAATTCATCACACCCATTTCACATTTTCCTAGCAAAATAACTGAATGAGAAGTGACTCAAGACTTTTGCACATTACTGTATCCCGGTTCTCTCCTTCTAAATTTAGGGCTTTATACTGCCAGAATATTTGAACGTCTTCCCTTTTGAAAGTTGTATAAGTTTATATCTTTAAATTAGAATATTCGACACATTTACTTTCCGAAATTTTGAATTTCCAAGGAATTAATCCCCGTCTTCCCAGGCGCCATATTTCAGTTATTTTAATACCTACAATGGCCCTCCTACGTCATCGTAAATTACATACGACACCGCCTCCACGGTTATCACCCCTACAATTAAATCCAGGTTCTGGGTGGTATTGTCCGGGCAGGGCTGCGGCCAGTGTAGTACTGATGCTTCGCCATCTGACTCTTCTGTCACCTCGTCGTTTCTGTCAGAGTTAACCCCGGGTCCCACCAGAGGGTGTCTGGACTCCATAATAGCGACCATCGTCTTTTCATAGCGCCACCAGCCCTGTATTTTAGTTGGGGCCGGGGAGTCGGGCTCTCGCTTGCACTTGTAGTATGCGCTTTTGAGAAGTTTCCAGCGAAACTTTAATTGGTCCACGGATCTGTGATAACCAGCCGCTGTCATTCTCCTGTGTGCCACTTTGAACAGTTTGTTATTCCTCACTTTCCTTCCGTCTAAGCACTTCTTCATGTCCAGCTCCTTGAGAATTTCCAGAAACAACTCCGTTTCCTTCACGTCCCAGTTCTGCTTCTTGATGCCAGAATCGTCCATTGTTTTAGCAATGCAGTCTCATGAAAACTCACACGAACTAGCGTTCACACGGCTAGGTTGCTAATAGGTGCTAGCATGCCTGCTGTAGCATGAGCTGTTGTGATGTTGCTAGTTTAAAATCTTTAAGCAGTATTTAGCACGGAATCTTCAAAACCGAATCAATAAAAGGATTACAATTCTGCGTTTTAAACCCTCTAAACATGAAAAAAAAAGCCCCGCTCATGCATCTGAATAGGAATAGCTTGAAAATAATCCAGGAGAGATTAGATTAGAAACACAATGCACGTGTTTCTTTTTGACTGGACAACTATAAAGTAACACGGAGTGACACAAACACGATAGCGTGAACAAAACCGGGTAACGCTGGCGGTAGGACATTTATTCACCTGATTTGTGTTTCAGATTTGCTGATATCCGGCGTTTTGGCAACCGCAAACAGAAGTTAAATTTAAACCGTGGATGCACCCAGAGCATACACAGAGCCAACCAGCTGACTCTAGCTCCACTGTTGGTTCGTTTGGTTTTTACTTCACTGTCGCTGCTGTTCCAGGTGGGCGGCGCCGCTCAGCATCCTCTGCGAAACATTCCGCGCATACCGTTTTTTTTTCCCGCCGTGTCCAGGACGTTTCAACCGTGAAATAAATGAAACGCACCTTTTTAAAGAACGTCTGCCATTCCATTGGTTGTGGCCTCGTCGTGACGAGAAGCTTTAAACGGGTTGAAGAAAGTTAGTGTCTGTCATTTGAATCAGCTGTGTGAGGGGGACGGGGGCGAGTGTTTTACCTTGTCAAGGACCTCCTTGAACAACAGGTATTTGTTTACAAATTATTCTATTTTATGCATTTAATAGGGCGTTTTTATTTTAACTGTTCATACATTTCGCAAAATATGATAGCTAATTTTTTGTTATTTTTTAATGACTGCAGTATTTTAAAATCGGGGAAAACAACTTAACATTTTTACAGTAAGCTAATTAGCTTCGTTTCCGTCCCGTTTAAGTCATGCAAAAGTGATTATTTGTTAATTAAATGATGTTACTGCAAGTATTCAGCAGAGCGCTGCAGCAGTGGGCATGCCTGGGCAAGCCTCGGTAGAATCTTCATTCAATCAGAGAAATAAATGGTAGTTGTTATTTCCACATTGTCTAATGCATCCAATGCAGCAGAAACACTTTATAGTCATATACAGAATGCTAAATGCTAAACATCGTCACAATATTCGTTTAAATATGCACAGATCATCAACAATGTTGAAACCACCTGGCTAATGTTTTGTAGCTGACGGTCTCACCACCAGAACAGCTCTGACCAGTCCGGACATTTCCATAAATGCCTGAGTGGAATGAGCTCTGGGCAGTTTGGTGCTCGGGTCATTGCCTTGGGCTCTTTGCTAAAGCTGTCCCTGAGCAGGTTTTGCCCTGTGGTTTAGGCACGTTATCAAGGGGTGTTACGATACGACCACCTAACATCCACAGGATTTAAGCTGGTTAAACATTTTTAGTTCTTCTCTCCACTGGTCAATAGTTTCGATGCGTTGGCTGATTTGCTCTGTTGCTTTTTGTACACGGCTCAACAACAAAAAAGAAAATTAAAGCAACACATCAGATCTGAGGGTTAAAAAAAAATCATGCTGCATATCTACACTGATATGAAAATGATCACCTTACAGAGGGCTGAATTCAAAGACATATTGAAAATCAAAGTAAAAAAATGATGCAGCAGGCTAGTTCACTTTGCGGAAATTTTAATTGCAGCTAGTCATAATGGTACTTAGTAATTTGTATGGACCCCTGCCTGCCCCCTGCCCAATGTGCTTGTAAGCATGCCTGACAAGGTCCGGGCATGGTGATGGTATCCTGAGGGAATCTCCTCCCAGATCCGGACAGTCTAAGATGCAACCTGCTGGTGTTCAATTAGTTGAAACATAATGTTCTACAGGTGTTCTACTGGATTAAGGTAAGGAAAGCATGGGGGGCCAGTCAGTAATATCAACTCTGTCCTCCTCCAGGAACTACCGTCATACTCTCGCTACATGAGGCCAGGCAATGTTGTGCAGCAGAGAATATCAGTGGTGGGCCTGCTAATTCTGGTATTCTCTGGCAAATGCCAGTCAGGCTCCATGGTGTGGGCAGTGAGCACAGTGCCCACTAGAGGACGTTGGGTCCTCAGGTCACCCTCATGAAGTCTGTGATTGTTAGTGAGCACGTCCTTCACACCAGGGTCCTGCTGGAGGTCCTTTTATAAGAGTGTGGCAGTGTTTATCCTGTTACTCCTTGCACGAAGGAACAGACACTGATGGGATAAGGACCCTCTACAGCACTGCTCACCTCTGAGTAACTGCCTCCCAAAAGTGATTTTAAAAAAACAAAAAAAAAACAACAACCCATAAACACACCTAAACTCAGAAGAGTTGAAGCTGCAAAGGGTGGGCCGACATCATATTAAACTCTTTAGATTAAGAGTAGGATGAGAAGTTCTTATGTATGTGAAGGCAGACGAGCAGTTACTTTTGGCAGTATAGTGTGGTTGCAGGGATTATGAGAAATGTATTTCCCATGTTTGATGATTTGCATGTGCACCTTGTCATGTTCTGATCCAGACATGGGTCACCTCATCCACTACCTGCACCTCCTGCTGGCCTGTCAGTGTCTCGCGGTCAACGGGCTGTTTGAGTGGCTGAGGCTGACAGAGGCACCTCGAGCAGCAGCGCCTCTTCAACCAGCTGCAGTGGCTCCAGCACATCTTGCCAAAGACGCTCAGTTTGAGATGGCAACTGCAGATGAGAAGTTTTTAGCTGAGGCAAAGCAGATGGAGCTCAGCCCATTGGACAGCTGTCATTACAGGGTATGTGGGCCTTGAAAATGTGTATTTAATCCAACGGACAAATAAAATGTTTTTGAACAATATTAGGTTTGAGTTTGGAGAAGGCTGGGCAACAGTGTTATTAAGTGTCTTTCATATAAAATTCTCATGGCACAGTTTTCAATACATTGTTTAAACAGAGGAATCATGTTTCTCTGGTTTGTCTCCTCCTGTAGGTGATCGCTCGGCTAAAGTCGAGCTGTGACAGCCTCTCAGAAGAAAAGCTCGCAAAGCTCGGAGTGGAACTGTTTAACTGCCAGGCAGAGATTGAGGGGCGCCAGACGTACCTATGCACAGAGGAGATGGTAAAAATACGATCTTGTAGTACTTGTCAGAAATGGCTTTAAAAATATAATGAAAAAATATATAATGTTGTGTGCTAATCTCAATTTTATGTGTTAGACCATCAAAGAGTGCACAGCAGACATGGATTCAGATACATGGAATGCTTACCACATAGTGAGCAACCGAGCGCGCTCCGTTTGTTATGCAACTCGACAGCAGCTTTTCCGGCGCAGAGCACACAGTCAATGCACTCATCTCCACAGCCACCAGCCAGCTAGATGCAATGAAGGACCTGAAGGTAAGGCTGGGTTTAAAAAAAATAAATAAAATAAAATTATTTTTATTTTGCAAATCAGTGGTTTCTTGGATTCATGGATCATTTTCAAACAGGAGGGCCAGGTAGAGTTGAAAGAACTGACTGCAGCATCACTGGACAAGCTGCTTGAAGGCCACAGTGTTCTGCAGGCTCAACAGGGGAAGCTCCACGAGGGCCAGGAGCAGATGACGAGTTCACTGAGGGACAACCTGGAGCGTCTGGGTCAGGAAAAAGCTCTCATCGCCTCTGGACAGGAGTTGGTAGCTCAGCTCATTCAGGGAATTACACAAAGAATGGGTGAGAATTTTACATTTTTCTGTATTTTTATTCTATTCTGTTAAAATTGACTTTGGGCGCGACTGCAAATAATCCGACATAAAGGCTCTTTTCATGTGCTAACAGTCAAATTGCAGCAGTTTGTAAATGGGTTTACTACTGACCATGGATAAAAGAAACTGTTTGTCAAAGTACTCGAAAATGACCTGATACAGTTCGATGTGCTGAATGACTTCTGGAAGTTTTAACTTTCCCCTTTTAAATAAGATAAAATATTGAACTGCAATTCTCTTTAAGAAAACTCTGTAAACACACCTGATGCCACATCATGTAGCATGGATTTTATTCTTTCTGTCCACCTTATTATTTTTTATTTTAGAGAATGTGAGTGAGCATCTTCAAATCCAGGGCTCTGAGGTGCAGGACAGCTACAAGGCGATTGTCAAGGACCTGGCAGATGTAAGACACCAAGCTCAGGACATCTATCAGAAAATTGGTAAATGGCTGAAATCATTTGTAGTTTATAAAACTATCCCCCCCAAGCAATGTGCTTACATATCTTTTTGTATGTGGCTGAGTAGACCACAGTATGATAGAGTTTCTGCAGTATCAGGATCAGACCTCCCAGTACTACACTGACCTGATGAACAAGTTGGAGCGCATGAACAGCACCCTGGGAGGCATGCTGCACTACCTCGATAAGATGCAGAGCCGCATAGAGGACAGGCTTCACATGATCCAGGGCTACCTCGGATGGGCAGGTGAGACACGGCAGCCATAGGGCACACTCCCTTTTTATAGGGTCTTTTCCTGCTACAGAGAAGTTGGATAATTGACTGTCAGCAGGACATATTTAGAAATTAATTCTTTACATTCTCTTTGACTAAAAAAAAAAAGGTTTCTGTATGACTTAAGAATTCTTTTTCTTGTGCTTTTTGCTTGAACAGGTTTAAGTCTGACAGCTATATGGACGTGCATCACACACACAGGCTACTTTGTACTGTGTGCAGTCCTGCTGACATTCCTGCACTGTCCTGGTTTCTCTCGAGCCATGCTGCTGCTAACTGTGCCTCTGAATGCAGTTGCTGAAGTCAACCAGCAGCCAGCGCTGGATCTCACCAGCCTCAGCCTGCTGCTGCTCACTCTGTCTCTGGGTATAAACATAAAGTCACTTATGAGGAAAATACATTAGCTGCAGTTTTCTGAAGCATTTGTCACAGTGTGAATTTTGTTTCTGCAGGTCACTGGTTTGTGAATCAGCTGTGGGCATGCTTCAAGATCACGAAAAAGCTGACCAGTCCACTGCTACTCAGCTCGTGCACCATTGTGGAACCGCAGAAGTGAGTATGTTGCACACTAGAACTGCAACTTGCGTATTGGTCTTTGAAAATGTTCAATTTAACGGACTTCACTGAATGTTAAGGCCATCACCATCTTGGTGTTTTGAAACTGGACATGGAAGAGGGGTGACGTCTGCTTGCTGATGGACACTGGTTGCAGCTATCAATTATAATATAGAGCAGGGGTCCCCAATCCCAATCCACGAGGGCTGGTGTCCCTGCAGGTTTTAGATCTCACCCTGGGTCAACACACCTGAATCACATGATTAGTTCATTACCAAGAACTTCAAGACATGTTGAGAAGGTAATTTATCCATTTAAATCAGCTGTGATGGATCAAGGACACATCTAAAACCTGCAGGGACACTGGCCCTCATGGACTGGGATTGGGGACCCCTGATATAGAGACAGTAATTTATTAAATGAGAACAATGTTGTAGATGTTAAACTTAGCTAATGATTTAATCCGACTCAATCAGAAACTCTTGAGTTCACTGGTCAGTGCTCAAACTGGTAACTGATGATTTGTTCGAGTAAAAAATGAATTTTGAACTCTACACGGTCAGTAAGAGCTTCAGGCAGTAGAACATGTATTATTGTCTACACCAAATTAACAATGATTCCTTTTGCATCTATTGGACCTATTTTCTATCCTTTTGTGCTCAGAGATGAAAAAGATGACATCATTGAGGAAGACGACCTATTGAATCCGGACAGCTTTTTATCAGGTGGGAAACACATGCTGAACCTTTTTACAGTGAATCCTGTTCAAGAGCAGTGCTCTTTCTATAAATTCAGCTTCTCAGTTTTGCTGTCAAACATGTTTGTGTTCAGGTGAACTTGGCATATCAGCTGTGTCTCCACCTCAGGGGAAGCTTACGCCAGAGTCGAGGCTTATGCCAGTAATTGGTAAACCAAATCACTCCACTCCCAGGTTTATACCAAAGCCACTTTCTTTAGCGGTAAGCAAACTGAGTTAATGCTTTCAGAAATGCAAAAACTGTATTCTCAGTGCATCACTAGTGGCAAGCAAGACAAATATTGTTTAATTGAAATCTGTTTTAGGCTCTTTGTTACGATATACCCCTGAGTAACCTGGAAGGTGTTTTTGATTCAGTCACTGACTCGTCTGATTTAGGGAATGATTCACGAAGTGCAAGACCCACTCCATCATTAGCCAGCAACAGGTCAGTAGCTCCAGTTACATGCACATATTTTATTTATTTATTTTTTTCTGTTTGAAGAGCTAAATTGTTTATATGGACTGTGATTTAATGTACTTTGGTGTGTGTGTGTGTGTGTGGGTGGGGGTGTGTGTGTGTGTGTCCCTGACATTTGAAATGAGCATGTCATGTTAGGGATTCTAGCTGCCAGTTCATTGCTATGTTACTGATACCAGTTTTCACTGAAATCATACAGAAATAGAAGTAAGAGTCTCCAAGAGCTTTTGGCCTATAGGAGTAGTTTCAATGTATACTGACCTCATTATTTGAAACTGTGGAATTAATAATTACCCTCCAATATAACCTCATTATAATGAGTAAAGGGGAAATATGAATTGTTAAAGGGCATCTTTCTGTTTTTCTGCCTTCAGCTCAGTGTCAGGCCGTCAGCTGTGCAATGGCCTCACAAAAAGAGGAAAAGTCTGTAAGAAGAGAGCTGTGCCAGGACAGGAGTACTGCAGAGTCCACGAAGGGGGGCACTCCTCGTATGTCCAGTTTTAACAGGCTCAGCTGTCTTTGTTGTCTGTAAAAACTGTATACAGTAATGAAATAGTTTTTACTAAGTTCTGTCTGCACTGCAGACAGCAGTAAGATTGCTGAATGAAAATTACATCTGTAGTTATTTTAAATGGTTTTTAGACGTTTATTTAGCTTTCGTGTTTAATAAAAATGAAAACTTATCAAAATTAGCTTTGTCAGAGTATGTGCATGTACACACAAGGAACTGGGCTCAGTTTTTTCTTAATTCCATGCTCTTTATTGCTTTCAATGTACCTAAGAGAACATGGAAACAGACAGTAGCAATGTGCCACAGCTGAACATGTATAGCCTATTCATAGTGGTGGGTAACTGGTTCTATATATAGATGGAGGGAGAGAGTTATGTGAATTTGTATAGTATATTTTTTTTTCTCTCATTTCTTTTCTAAATGTACTTGTATATTGTTCACATGTTGAAATAAATTATCAATCAATCAATCAATTTGAGTATGTGTAATATAGGTATAACCAAAGAGTATTTACTGCATGGTTTGTTTCAGTAAAAGCTGTGGTGGACGTTTTAGTAGAGACAACATGTAAGCAATGGCCTGTGAAAAGCTGTTCTGTAGCACCTACCAAAGGGAGGAACTAGAAGAGGTTGTATCCTGGGTGTGAGTGTTTCCTAATTCTGAGTTTGTACAAATCGTTTCTTGCAGACCTGACTTGTCCACTGTAGTATGTTCTCGTCCTCTTTGGTTTGATTAATACACTGATGGTCATGCAGTAAACAGACTGGATTACTGCAGAGTAGAAATGGACCAATAGCTCCTGAGCTGGTGCAGGAGGTCCATCCTCTTCTGGGCCTCTTTGATAATTTTGTATTAGGTGGCAACAGACTGGATCCCTGAAACCTGAAGGAGCATGTTCAGCTGTTTAACCCCTCATTGGTATGCAGACTCATCACCAACCTTCACAAGTCTCATGATCACCATGCCATCTGCAAACCTCACGTTTTTAAATAGGCTGGTGTTTTGAGGTGCAGTCGTTTGTGTATGAGGATCTGCATTCCTCAAGGGCCAATGTCCTGCAGGTTTTAGATAGCACCCTGGTTCAACAAACCCGAATCAAATATTAGTTCATTACCTCTGGAGAACTTCAAGACATGTTGAGGAGGTAATTTGGCCATTTAAATCAGCTGTGTTGGATCAAGGACATCTAAAACCTGCAGGACACTGGCCCTTGAGGCCTGAAGGTTCCCCAACCCTGATCTATACACTTCTGTATACATCAGGGTTCTGTGTCTGTTATAAAGTGAAGCATGAGTAGTGCTGTCCAGCAGAACTGAATCCTTGTTTTGTTTTTATGGCATATGAACATATAGAGAAATAAAAATCTCAATCTGTGACATGTCTTTCATTTCAAGGGTAGGACACTTGAGACACATTGCAAATATAAAATATTTATTTTGCTCTGATTAGTTTAAAAAAAAACAAAAACAAAACACTAGCCCACATAATGCTCAATTATATAAGCTGGATCAATCAAATCCCAAACCCTTCAATAACAAACTAAGTCAAAACAATTCTGATTTCTGAATGTTATGTTGTGCCAGCACCTGGATTACAAGAGTGAAGCAGCCCTATGGGCTCAAAATGTGGTCATAAATATTTTGTACTTGTAAATCAGGATTTGTATGTGTTTAAAAAAATAAAGATTTGTGTGCGTAAAAAGAATTTGTATGTGTAAAAAAGATTTGTGCGTGCATAAAAAAAATTTGTGTGTGGACTTAGCCAAAAAACCCCCCTGCAAGTTACAAGTATGAATTTTGACCCTATTTTTCTTCCTTTCATCTGATTGGTCAATGTCATGTCAATCACAAATGTAACAATCCAATCAAAGAACAGATGGGTTTGGCTGTCAGAAGGGCGCTTTTTTTGAACTGCAGGTCTTTGAAGGGAATAAATGCCCTTTTACATGCCAACCCAGCGTTTTCCTTCATCACCACGAAGGAAAACAGTCTGTGGTCGTCCAAGTTTGGTGATTTTTGTGTCACAGGTCTACGTGTTTAATACAGGGACTTCAACAGCCTTTTCAACAGCACTGCGGACCGCGGGGTGGGGGTGGGTAGTGTTTTGGAAATGACAGTCTTCATCACAAAGCTTTCTTCGGTTTGAATTAGCATACATGTTTTTATTGAGCATTTGAAGAACTAGCAAAAAAAAAAAAAACTCTTGTAGAGGACAAAGTCAGAGATAGAAAAGACAAGGAGCAGGTGCATCTAGTACAGGTAGAGCAGCTGCAAAAACCCACAGAGCCCAGCAGCCAGCGTAACAAATTCTGGATCCTTTGCTTTTAGTTAGCAGTTAGCATTAGCAGCGTATCCTGCATCCGACGTGAAAGGACTTTTATGCTGCGCACTGTGACTCACAGCAATGGTCCTGGGTCAGCCCTGACTTTGTGTTAAACTAATCGTAAAGTAATAATGTTATTTCTAACCAGTGATATACCACAACTTTTTCCTTTCAACAGCTACTGAAAGTTAGGGGACCTAGCTGCTATTGGATATTTATATAGCGATCCTCCAGCTTCAAACGGTATCACCCTTCAAGGACCTGCAGTTCAAAAAAGCGCCCCTCTGACAGCCAAACCCATCTGTTCTCTGATTGGATTGTTCCATGTGTGATTGACATGACATTGACCAATCAGAAAAATAGGGTCAAAAATCCGTACTTGTAACTTGCAGGGGTTTTTTTTCTAAGTCCACACACAAATCTTTTTTACACATACAAATCTTTTTTACGCACACACAAATCTTTTTTACACATACAAATCTTTTTTACACACACAAATCTTTTTTACGCACACACAAATCTTTTTTACACATACAAATCTTTTTTACACACACACAAATCTTTTTTACGCACACACAAATTCTTTTTACACATACAAATCTTTTTTACACATACAAATCTTTTTTACGCACACACAAATCTTTTTTACACATACAAATCTTTTTTACGCACACACAAATTCTTTTTACACATACAAATCTTTTTTACGCACACACAAATCTTTTTTACGCACACACAAATCTTTTTTACACATACAAATCTTTTTTACAAGTACAAAATATTTATGACCACATTTTGAGCCCATACCACAGAAAGCTATTTTCCAGCGAAAGAATATGGAGAATAAATGTCCTGGTAAGTAATATTAAGTTTGTTGAGTTTAGTAAACTTCGGTGAAATTAGAATACCAAGGAAAAAATAACACTTAAAGAATTATTGCAACCGCCGAATATTTCAGTAGGCTACTGGGGGAAGCTAGCATAAGAGTTATTAGTTATAAGATATAATCCAAGTCGTAACATTGCTGTGTGGAGCTGCAGATTTGGTTGCAGGTTAATACTGGCAGTGTCGCCATGCCAGCTGACTGCATTTCATCATCAGCCAGTGTTGTTCTTTATACATCAATATTACCAAAGTTTGTGCCATGTTCAATGTAGGGATGTGCAGTTCTGGTCCTCCTGGTTTCAGATGTTTCCATACTTCAACACAGCTGATTTAAAGAATCATTTACAGACTTGTGCACAACTAGGTGTTTGGGGATTATTTGGTGACAGGTGACAGATCAGTGGAGGCACGGGGTCTGTTGGCACAAATTGACCTCACATTTATTGGCAATTTATCCACATTTAGAAAAATTCTAGGGGAAATTAAGTTGCTTTCTGATGTACTTCAGTCTCCATCTCTTGATCTAGCAAAGGCTGTAGACCTAATTCATGCACTTCAAGACACCTTGGACCAATATAGAAGTGAATCCTGTTTTGATGAGCTGTGGCAAGACGCAATGGATATTGCAGAACAGTGTACTGTTGCCTCTGAGACAGTTAAGAGAAGGATGCAGAGAGAGAGCCTCAGGCTAAAGGGTTATTTTGTAGATTCTCCAATCGGGCAACACAGGTGTAAGGAGGATGACAAGGACAAGTTTAAGAGGGAAGTATTTTACCCCATTCTTAACCATGTACATGCAGAGATGGAGAAGCGCTTCAACAAGACCAATTGTGATATTATGCGGGGTATACAGGCACTAAACCCCAAGAGTAAGAGCTTTTTGTCAGAGGAAATAGTTGTAAGCTTGGCTGGTCTGTATGACTGTGATATTGAAGACCTCAAACATGAGCTGTATCAAGCTAGAAAGGTTGTTCAAAGGAGAGCAGGGTGTGGGAATGAACTCTCCAGTATTTTGGGGTTTACTACCTTCCTAGAGCCTTACAAAGAGGTGTTTCATCAGCTTTTTCATTTATGTCGAATAGCTTTAGCTTTACCTGTCAGCAGTGCTACTTGTGAACGTAGCTTTTCAGTGCTAAAGCTTAGAAAAAATCATCTACGAACAACTATGACTGATGAGAGGCTTAGCAATATTGGAGTTTTGAGTATTGAGAGGAAAAGGGCAAGATCATTAAGCCTGGA